TACACAACAGTAATTGCAATCTATAATCTGAGAGCACTCAACCTGAGCCATTTAATATTCAAACCAAACATACAGTAAAGCCATTGAGAGATATGGCTGCGTGGGACTTTGGTCAAAGTGACTTTACTCAGAGCCCATCATCCCCCTGGGTTGATACAATGAGTACCGCTTTGTCTGAAGTACAACGACTGTTGTCCTAGAGGGAGATTGACCCATGTCACAAGAACGTGACATTCCCACCGCTGGCTGCATCATGCGCACAGGGCCTCCAACAGAGACGATTGTCAGTAACTTCGTGGAGCACGGATGAACTCTGACATTGACCGGCACACACACACACACGAGATCCCACTCACGTTGTGTGCATTTCTATTTCACCTTACGTTCACCGTTCATTTAGTGCATACAATACATCACTGTATTTGTGTACACACTTTGCCGGGCAGCCTTTGTATGTATTGTTTGCATGAAGAAAGACACACGGACACGTGTTCTCGTCATTGCTGAAATCCCTACAATAATAATAATAATCTCGTGCAATTGTGTTCAACTACAGTCAAGGCAGCAGGCCAACTTGCCCAAACGCTGTGCACATATTGTTTGAGAAAACTTGTCGTGTAAGCGGACAACAACAATGAAACACGCGTCGTGTGTGAAACACACAAAGACGACATCACCGCAACACAACGAGTGGATTGTCAGTCCACAGTGTTGTGGGACAATGGTGACATTTTGCTCACGTAACGGGAAATGCGAGCGGTGAACGAGACCACTCGACTCCAAGTACTTTAGCCACCCATCCGAGCCACCCTCTAGAACACAGCAATGCCAATGCATGTGCCACACCACCGCAACCGCGGCTAGTTTAAAAGAACCATGCACTTAGTGTGCTTCATGAAGTGTAACATGTATACATAGCAGTTACTCCACTCAATAAACTCGTGCTAGGATGGAATAGGGACAAAGTTGGACTTTTTTTTTGTTCAAAGCCAAAGCACTGCACGTTTCCCCACCAACCTCAACACATTTATTTGTGGGAATATTCTAAACGATCTCTCTCTCTCTCCTCTGTATGCTATTGAGCCATCCTTCTACAATATTCAATGACGTTTTGCTCACCGGTGGGTAACCTTGAGGTCACGTGAGGGTTGTGGCTTATAGACTGTGTTAATTTACCTATTGAGGAGAGAGGAAGACATTAGAATCATACATTTGCAGGATTTGGCTGCTATAAATGTCCACGTGATGACAAGCCACTAACAACTTGAGCTACAATTTCGTGGGGAAAGGTCGCTTCTGAAAAAGAGCTACAGTATAGCTCAGTGGGTATTAGCTGCTAACACAAAATTGCAGTTAAAAATAGCATCTACGTGACTTTACCGAAAGAACCAAAGAGTAATCGTGTCCTAGTTGGTTTTCTGAAAACAGCTCTCTATCAACGAATGACACAAGACTGTATGGATTACAAGGACGTTACATTGTGGGTATTGTACAGTTGTATCCTGTAACCTGCAACACCTCACCCCCCCTCCATGTCAACCTGCCTGCCCATGGTCAGATTATACCATCGAGTCAAGAGACCCGGTGGTGGTGCTGCTGGTGGTGGTGCTGGTGTTGGTGCTGGTGGTGGTGCTGGTGGTGGTGCTGGTGGTGCTGGTAGTGGTGCTGGTGGTGGTGCTGGTGGTGGTGCTGGTGGTGGTGCTGGTGGTGCTGGTGGTGGTGCTGCTGGTGGTGGTGCTGGTGGTGCTGCTGGTGGTGGTGGTGCTGGTGTTGGTGGTGGTGGTGCTGGTGGTGGTGCTGGTGGTGGTGCTGCTGGTGGTGGTGCTGGTGGTGCTGCTGCTGGTGGTGGTGCTGGTGTTGGTGGTGGTGGTGCTGGTGGTGCTGCTGGTGGTGCTGGTGATGCTGGTGGTGCTGGTGGTGGTGCTGGTGGTGCTGGTGGTGCTGGTGGTGGTGGTGCTGGTGGTGGTGGTGATGGTGCTGGTGGTGGTGCTGGTGCTGCTGGTGGTGGTGCTGGCGGTGCTGGTGCTGGTGGTGCTAGTGCTAGTGGTGGTGGTGGTGCTGGTGGTGGTGCTGGTGCTGGTGGTGGTGATGGTGCTGGTGTTGCTGGTGGTGGTGCTGGTGGTGCTGATGGTGGTGCTGGTGGTGCAGCTGGTAGTGCTGGTGTTGGTGCTGGTGGTGATGGTGGTGGTGCTGGTGGTGGTGGTGCTGGTGGTGGTGCTGGTAGTGGTTCTGGTGGTGATGGTGCTGGTGGTGCTGGTGGTGGTGCTGGTGGTGATGCTGGTGGTGGTGGTGCTGGTGGTGCTGCTGGTGGTGCTGCTGGTGGTGCAGGTGGTGCTGGTGGTGATGCTGGTGGTGCTGCGGTGCTGGTGGTGGTGCTGGTGGTGCTGCTGCTGGTGGTGTCAAATTACACATCCCCAGTCGCCACCATCACCGTCCCCTCCTCATAGCCCTGCCACCACATCCCGAAGCAGCTGGTGCGAGAGAGACTGTGCCCACACCGGCGCTTGACCTTGACCAGGGATTGAACTCGTGGTGCCATCGAACCATGCACTTAGAAGAAGCCCCACGTGGACATGGCAAGTGGGATGTTGTACAGCGCTGGCAACAGAGCAGCCGATGTCGTATGCACAATGCAGTCCAGCGCCATGTGTATACGTTACAGTGGAGAGTAGTGCTCTTACAATGCAATAATTCTGAATATTGTTTCAGGACATTATACACTGTCGTGCATGCAGGACCAGTCCTGTAGGGTAACGCATGTAACATGTTATACTGGTAGGAACCTCTGGTTACACCAGCCCACAGGGGATTATTGTGTCCGTCCGTCCGTAGTGCAGGTAGGGGCTGGGTGGGGAGGGGAGGGTGGGGAGGCGCTGGGTGGGGATGGCGGGGTGGGGCTGGGTGGGGGGTGGAAGGGGTGGGGCTGGGTGGGGAGGGGCTGGGTGGGGAGGGTGGGGCTGGGTTGGGCTGGGTGGGGGCTGGGTGGGGAGGGGCTGGTCACCCCGTGTTGTGTTATATGGGGGCACACTAAATTGCTCGACAGTGAATGATCCTACACACTACACGGTACTTTCACAATCTAAAGGACTGCACGGGTTTGCCTCTGCTTGACATGGAAGCACTGCCGGGTGATATTTAGTCAGCGATGTTCCCGATACACGAGTGAATACATTAAATTAAATCACTTCATAATGTTTATGAATGCACCCTCAATAGTGCATACATTGTATTCAATATTTTGCACAACACGTATCGTATTGCTATATTGGTATGCACACATTGTGTTCGTTTATTATGTCTATAGCATGGTATATGTAGAAGTCTCCTTTTGTATACACATTGTCCTTAATAATGATGCATATACTGTATAGAACGGTATGTATATCATTGTATCAGTATTGGTTTAGACATTGTGTTCAACCATTTTATATATTCACTCAATGTAACATCGTATTCGAACGCACCACGTGTAACAACACACCACGTGTAACCCTCACCACGTGTAGCAACACACCACGTGTAACCCACACCACGTGTAACACACACCACGTGTAACACACACCACGTGTAGCAACACCCACGTGTAACCCACACCACGTGTAACCCACACCACGTGTAACCCACACCACGTGTAACCCACACCACGTGTAACACACACCACGTGTAACCCACACCACGTGTAGCAACACACCACGTGTAGCAACACACCACGTGTAGCAACACACCACGTGTAACACACACCACGTGTAGCAACACACCACGTGTAACCCACACCACGTGTAACCCACACCACGTGTAGCAACACACCACGTGTAACCCACACCACGTGTAACCCACACCACGTGTAACCCACACCACGTGTAACACACACCACGTGTAACCCACACCACGTGTAGCAACACACCACGTGCAACCCACACCGCGTGTAACACACACCACGTGTAGCAACACACCGCGTGTAACACACACCGCGTGTAACCCACACCACGTGTAGCAACACACCACGTGTAACCCACACCACGTGTAACCCACACCACGTGTAACCCACACCACGTGTAGCAACACACCACGTGTAACCCACACCACGTGTAGCAACACACCACGTGTAACCCACACCACGTGTAGCAACACTCCACGTGTAACCCACACCATGTGTAGCAACACACCACGTGTAACCCACACCACGTGTAGCAACACACCACGTGTAGCAACACACCACGTGTAACCCACACCATGTGTAGCAACACACCATGTGTAACCCACACCACGTGTAACCCACACCACGTGTAACACACACCACGTGTAACACACACCACGTGTAGCAACACACCACGTGAACCCACACGTGTAACCCACACCACGTGTAACCCACACCACGTGTAACCCACACCACGTGTAGCAACACACCACGTGTAACCCACACCACGTGTAGCAACACACCACGTGTAACCCACACCACGTGTAGCAACACACCACGTGTAACCCACACCACGTGTAACCCACACCACGTGTAACCCACACCACGTGTAACCCACACCACGTGTAACACACACCACGTGTAACCCACACCACGTGTAACACACACCACGTGTAGCAACACACCACGTGTAGCAACACACCACGTGTAGCAACACACCACGTGTAACCCACACCACGTGTAACCCACACCACGTGTAGCAACACACCACGTGTAACCCACACCACGTGAACCCACACCACGTGTAGCAACACACCACGTGTAACCCACACCGCGTGTAACCCACACCACGTGTAGCAACACACCACGTGTAACCCACACCACGTGTAACCCACACCACGTGTAGCAACACACCACGTGTAACCCACACCACGTGAACCCACACCACGTGTAGCAACACACCACGTGTAACCCACACCGCGTGTAACCCACACCACGTGTAACCCACACCACGTGCGTTTGACGTGCAACGACAACGAAGACAACAACGACAACAACAATAAACAACAACAACGACAATCACCTCCAACATCGCGGCGGCGATGGCGAGCGGCATCAGCACCACCACCATCATCGTCGTCGTCTTCTTCTGCCGCGATCCTCACAGGTCGCCCACGCCTCACTGGCATCACGCGGCCTCACCCCAGACGACAACAACCACCACCACTCATCCTCTGCTGCTGCTGTTGTTGTTGTTGTTGTCGTGGTTAGTGTTGTGGGGGTTGTAAAAAACGTGTCGGCGACTTCAGTAACGGCCCCGTCGCGGAGCTGTCAAAGCCGCGTCTCGTGTGTGACGATGGGTGGGTAGTGGTGGTGGGAGTGTGTGTCTGTGTGTCTGTGTGTGTGTGACGATGGGTGGATGGTGGTGGTGGTGGGAGTGTGTGTGTGTCTGTGTGTGTGTGACGATGGGTGGGTAGTGGTGGTGGGGGTGTGTGTCTGTGTGTGTGTGTGTAACGATGGGTGGGTAGTGGTGGTGGGAGTGTGTGTCTGTGTGACTGTGTCTGTGTGTGTGTGACGATGGGTGGATGGTGGTGGTGGGAGTGTGTGTCTGTGTGACTGTGTCTGCGTGTGTGTGACGATGGGTGGATGGTGGTGGTGGGGGTGTGTGTCTGTGTGACTGTGTCTGTGTGTGTGTGACGATGGGTGGTGGTGGTGGTGGTGGGAGTGTGTGTCTGTGTGTGTGTGACGATGGGTGGTGGTGGTGGTGGGAGTGTGTGTCTGTGTGACTGTGTCTGTGTGTGTGTGACGATGGGTGGTGGTGGTGGTGGTGGGAGTGTGTGTCTGTGTGACTGTGTCTGCGTGTGTGTGACGATGGGTGGATGGTGGTGGTGGGGGTGTGTGTCTGTGTGACTGTGTCTGTGTGTGTGTGACGATGGGTGGTGGTGGTGGTGGGGGTGTGTGTGTGACTGTGTGTGGTGGTGGGGGTGTGTGTGTGTCTGTGTGATGATGGGTGGGTGGTGGTGGGGGGGGTGTGTCTGTGTGTGTGTGGCTGTGTGTGTGACTGTGTGTGTGTGACTGTGTGTGTGTGTGTCACTGTGTGTGTGTGACTGTGTGTGTCTGTGTGTGTGACTCTGTGTGTGTGTGTCTGTTTGTGTCTGTGTGTGTGACTGTGTGTGTCTGTGTGTGTGACTGTGTGTGTGTGACTGTGTGTGTGTCTGTGTGACTGTGTGTGACTGTGTGTGTGTGACTGTGTGTGTGTGTGTCTGTGTGTGTGTCTGTGTGTGTGACTGTGTCTGTGTGTGTGACTGTGTGTGTGTGTGTGACTGTGTGTGTAACTGTGTGTGTGTGTGACTGTGTGTGACTGTGTGTGTGTAACTGTGTGTGTGTGACTGTGTGTGTGTAACGGGGTTCTAACAACAGCGCCCTGGAGCACGACGAGCCAACAATAACCTCTCCTGCAACATGGCGCTCTGACAGCAGCTCACACACACACAGTCACACATACACAGACACACACAGTCACACACACACAGTCTCACACACACACAGTCACACACACAGTCTCACAGACACAGACACACACAGTCACACACACACAGTCTCACACACACAGACACACACAGTCACATACACAGTCACACACACAGTCTCACACACACAGACACACACAGTCACACAGTCACTCAGTCACACACACACAGTCACACACACAGTCTCACACACACAGACACACACAGTCACACAGTCACTCAGTCACACACAGTCACACATACAGTCACACCCACACACAGTCTCACACACACAGTCACACACACAGTCTCACACACACAGACACACACAGTCACACAGTCACTCAGTCTCACACACACACAGTCACACACACAGTCTCACACACAGTCACACACACAGTCACACACACAGTCTCACACAGAGTCACACACACAGTTACACACACACAGTCACTCAGTCACACACACAGTCACACACATAGTCTCACACACAGTCACACACACAGTCTCACACAGAGTCACACACACAGTCACACACACACAGTCACTCAGTCACACACACACACAGTCACACACACAGTCTCACACACAGTCACACACACAGTCTCACACAGTCACACACACAGTCACACACACACAGTCACTCAGTCACACACACACAGCCACACACACAGTCTCACACACAGTCACACACACAGTCTCACACAGTCACACACACAGTCACACACACACAGTCACTCAGTCACACACACACAGTCACTCAGTCACACACACACAGTCACACAGCCACACTCACACACATGTTCACGCGATGGGTGTGCACACACACAGACAGCACACGGCACAGCGAGCACCTATGAAGACCGGCACAGTGCACACACACACACTCTGTTACACATGCGTGTTCACACGGGTGTGGATGCACACACTTACACGCATGTGCAATACACACGTGCACGTGTCAATTCGCACGTGTATTCGTACACTTGCAAATACACGTTTACAAACGCGAATTAAGGGCACACGTGACCTCACATGCCCACACGCATGAACACAAATGTGTTCATATACACGTGAGAATGCATGCACCATTAGTATTTGTATTCGGCTTGAAAACTCAGGAAAGCTTCAATGAGTCCCACGACTCTTTTTCCAGGAGGGACCTGCTGGATTTTGGCAGCAGGGAGCAATGTTGTTTCTGCTGTGCGATCCCAATTGAGATATTTACGGGTAATTTGCCAGCAATGGGATGTTTGCCCGAATAGCGATTACTTAGTTGAACGAAACAATTGTTTTAATACTTTACCAGGTAAGGCCTGGCCACGCAGCTCATCGAAGTGGCTTATCATGTGGGAATTTATATCAGCCAAATGTTTTCAACGCGTGTCTCTAAATATGGAGGGGAAAACCGGAGGACCCGGAGAAAAATCCACGCGACCACGGAGAGAGAGAGACACCGCAAACCCCAAATACACAGCAGCAGCAGCAGCTGGTGTCAGGGTCGGGAGCGAACCCACGACCTCCTGTAGACCAGGCGAGGTAGTTAACATCTCCTAGCCACCGTGGCGAGATGTTACAATACAATATGTTACAATGTTGTACTTGAATACAACATTGTTACAATATTGTATTTGAATACAATTTTGTAACAATGTCAAACGAGCAAAAAAATCTCCATTCTTAAATACTGGCCAGTGCTTATCTCTGAACGAACAGTGTCATTTAGGGGCCGTCCATAAATGACATTACGCACCTGGGGGGGGGGGGGGGGTCAGACATTTGTGACGATGTGTGACGAGGGGGGGGGGGGGGTGAGAAATGTGACGTCACATCAAAATGCGTAACTTTAAATAAATATAGATAGCACTTTATATTTAATTAAATAGACTTTGTAATAAATGTGTTCTCCTACAACATCAGAGTGCAGCGCCACATTAAATACGCACTACAATGACAATAGTTTAAATCGATTTGAAGCATGTTTTATTTTCAAAATGGAAATGTGGTTGGGGGGGGGGGCAGAGCTTTGTGACGTCATATTTGAGAGGGGGTCTGACTTATTGTGACGCCGTGTGACGAAGGGGGGGGGGGGGTAAAAAATTGTCCAAAATCGCGTGACGTCATTTATGGACGGCCTCTTAGGGTGTGGGGTGGGAAAAATTTCATACAGCCACTTTCAGATCAACATTACTATATCTTATAACGTATTGACACATTCTAAATAACGTATGTTCTAAGTATATATATGCAACGCAATGCGTGGCAGATTCTGGGTGACATGATATGATGGGTAGCGGAGGGGCGGTGTGGCAGTGTTTAGCGCACTGCGTTGTGAAACGGCGACATAAGTTGAATTTTGATTTACAACTTTCGTGACTGCAGGAATTTATAGTCTTTGGTTATTTCGTTAAAGTCACGTAGATAGAAAATAATACAATAAAAATAATCAAAATTAAAAAATAACAAAATGGAATAAAAACCAAAAACTCACGACGTTTTGATCGGAACACAAGTGGACTAGAGTTTTTGTTTTTTTATTAAAATGTAAATAAATGTATTTAATTATTTTATATCTACGTGACTTTACCGAAAGAACCAAATGATATGAGTTCAATTCCCGGCCACGGCTAACATCAGTGGCGAGAGATATCTGAACCAGCGTGGTGAAATATGGTGAAGACAACCCCCCATGATCGACACAGCATGGGGTGACTGACCATCCATCAGTGAAAAAGATCATGGGGTCTTCACATTGTTATCATTTACATGAAGGATAATTAATCTCATATATATTTTTAGATGTTTACGGTATTTCGTATATCGGTCATGAAAAATTGGAAAACACGTAGATAAGAGAACGTGTTAGGGCATGAATTACATCTCAACGGATTCGAGGGTTATTATTTATTGTGTCAAATGTGTAAACAAGCACACGCATACAAATGCTCGGATGTAACTCAACAGGACGAATTGCCTCTCGGTGTGCCGTGTTGAGCGTGCAGCAGCAGTGGCGGCTCTCGTGAATGGCTGGGGTAGTGGATACCTTGACAGTGCCGGGTGTTTATAAAGGCCACTGTGGTACAGCTGCGCCCTGAGCACCACCAGCGCGAGTGAACAAAAGCAGCTTTGTTCCCACCCAGCAGTCAGTAGGGCGGCAGAGTCGCGTGCGCAACGATTCGGCGCTGCATCTTCCGTCCCTGGGTGACCCTCGCACCCAGTGCCGGATGAAGCGAGTGCGGGTCCTGTAGCATATATTATAAAGGGGCCCTAAATGAAAAAAAAATACACGAATATTAAACACGCACATGTGTTTACTTGCGTAGTAAAGTAATGGGCCGTCCATAAATGACGTCACGCACCTGGGGGGGGGGGTCAGATATTTGTGACGATGTGTGACGAGGGGGGGGGGGGTGAGAAATGTGACGTCACATCAAAATGCGCAACTTTAAATTAATATAGACAACACGTTTCACTGAATTAAATAGACTTTTTAAAAAATGTTTTTGCCTACAACATCAGAGTGCAGCGCCACATTAAATACGCACTACAATGGCAATAGTTTCAAGCGATTTGAAGCATGTTTTATTTGGGGGGGGCAGCTTTATGACGTCATTTGAGGGGGGGGGTCTGACTTTTTGTGACGTCGTGTGACGAAGGGGGGGGGGGGTCAAAAATCGTCCAAAATCACGTGACGTCATTTATGGACGGGCCCCTAATTGTATTTTTTCATTTTCTATACAGTACAGCCAGATAATACGACAAATCGCTAACATTAAACACCCAGTCGTTCATCAAAATTGAAGGCAGTATAATACTATAGTAATCGAGCAAGTGCAGAATCACTGAACCTAAATTGATAGCTTGGAAGGATTTAGCGCGGGGCCCTTGAAAGTGCGGGGCCCGTAGTTACAACTACACGTGTAGTAGTAGCTACACGTGTAGTAGTAGCTACACGTGTAGTAGTAGCTACACATGCTACACATGTGTAGCTACTACTACACATGTAGCTGCTACACATGTAGCTACTACACATGCAGCTATTTCTGCTACTAGGATAATCCGGCACTGCTCTGCGCACAGATGCCCGTTGCTGATATCGTTATGAAGTAAAAGGGCCTCAAGCGGTACTGTCGACATGAAAGTAATCATTTACATTCATGAAGCGCCCTTAAACAATTGGGCTCAGGGCCACAGCCCCGAGTACCTGTCTTGTTAATGTTTAAGAGAATGTCCTAACACGAAAGAACAAAAAAATTAACCCATTCGCCGATAACACTGCCTTAAATAGAAGTATGTAAGAAACGACGTTTCAGGCAATAATCCAACGTGTTGTGAAGGGTTGAGTTGAGTTTTTTTTATATTTGTGCTTCTGCACCACTGCCAGTGCAACGTCACCAAATACGTCAATGCCATTCGAATGAACGATGTTTGAGGCTCAGTAGTTGGAAATATTTTAAAGCAAATATTTAAGGCCAATATTTCTATCGTGGGGAGTGGTTGGTATGCGAGTAAACTGTAATTAAATGCATGCATCACACTTCCTTATTTGCATGTTTTTTTTGGTAACGTCCATATTTGTGATCCACATCAAAAGAATACAGTCCAAACTCGTGATGGAAAGCGTTACGGAATTATGCGTATGCATGGTTTTTCTTCCTTCTGTCTTGGCTCACGTTCAAGTAAAACAAATCTCAACGTTCAAATTCAACTTGGGGAGGTCGATTCTGCTCATCATTCTTCCATAATCAAAACAATGAACGGCTTTTGGGACAGCAACAATGCTTATGCTATGAACAGAATTTCTTCCACCACACATGGAATTTCCACCACATACTCAGGCTGAACCTATACTCTAAGCTCCAAATGGAGTCAGTTTAAATCTATAATTGAAAGTTAACATCCATTTAGATTTCTATTTATTTATATGAAAACTATGAATTCCAAATGTGCAGCCTGATTTACAATTACGTAGTGCATCAAATTATAGCAAACCAAAAAACAGACAATGTCGAATATGTAAACAAAACGTTTTGGAAAATGTAGCGTTGATACTTTATATGCATAAAAGTTCACACCGAACGATGCTCTTACAGTCCCATTGATTGTGTAACGGTGGTGGTTTTCTAGAGGCAACCTCACCTGCAGCCCTATTGCCGTGTGAAGGGCACGATTGTGTTTTTTAATGCGCTCGTTATATGCCGGCTCCAGTGCTCTGTCTGCCGCTGTTGATCGGAGAGTGGCAAGCCAGCCAATTACGAGGCTCGGTGCACACTTGAACAACACAGACGTATTTCCACAGGGAAATTAAGACCAACTTGGCGCTCAACGTCACGCTTAGGCAGCTCGGTAGAGACGAACCTGAAAGTGAACGCCTCTCAACGAATGAATGCACGCATGAATGATTTCAAAATAGCTCGTTGCATGTTGCAAGTAGAAAAATAAAATGTATATTTACAGTTGTTATAAAAATGTGAATTGGGAGATATGTTGACAATTTAGGGCTGCGGTGGTAATTGGGCCTCACTTGTAACTCTCAAAGCTGAACTTGGTGCCACTGTGGCTGAGACGATCGCCTCGTTATCCAAGTGCTGAAGCCAGCAGCAACTGCAGTATTCTGAGTTGAGGTTAAATGAAAAATGTCAGGTTTTTGTTTTTACTATCAGCGAAACGAAAGGAAGATCTGGACGTTTTGGACAACTGGCGTTCTGCGGGGAATGATAGTTTACAATGCAATGATTTTTTTAATACCTGTACAGTACATAATATAGCAGGAACTGGAAACAGGCTTTGGCGGATTTTTATTGAAATTGCCATCATACTGATTTGAAGCTTTCGTGACGGCAGGAATCCATACTCTTTGGTTCTTTCGGTAAAGTCACGTAGAAGGGAAATAATTGTATTTTATTTTTATTATTTTATTATTTCCCTTCTACGTGACTTTACCGAAAGAACCAAGAAGATGAATCCCTGCAGTCACGAAAACTTTAAATCGAAAATAATAATCTTTAACATTTTCATTCAGTGCCCTTAAAAACATCCAAATGCAAGCTTTTGTCAATGTTTTCAGCAAAATGATTTTTTTTTAAATCACCCCCCCCCCCTCTGGAAACTCGTATCATTCTCCAAACTCTGAACTCATGTAGGTCAAACCAGAACACAAAGCTTATCTGCACACAAGCAGAGAGAGACAACACATACACAGAGACACACAACTATTGTCTCCGTGTCTGTGTTTTGTCTCTCAAATTTAGTTCTACCTGATGACGACTGCTTATGTTGCAATCGAAACATCGTATTCTATTATTTAATGTATTTTCTTTCTACGTGACTTTACCGAAAGAACCAACGAGTAATCCTGCTGTCACGAAAGCTTCAAATCAAGCGAGCGTAGTGGATGAGTGAGATGGGCTGCGTGTTAGGAACGCCGATGTGTTGCTGCGTTACGAAGTGGATCGCCCCGTGTGCTCTTAATAAATAAGCCTTCTACTCGACGTGTCTCGGAAGGCGCTCAATACACATGTATAACACGTCATTTAGCGATGTATTACTTCAATACGTACATGTTTTATCTGTTCAGAATGATTGAGAAAACGTTGGGAATAGGATACCAGCACAATAGCTTGCTCTTCAGAACCAATGTCACAGGATCTTTTAGATTTACTTCATAGCATTCAGCAAGTTTTGGTTACTTTTAACAAGAGAGCTGTTGGAAATAAATAATTAAATGATTCAATTACTTAATTGCTTGGAGATTGTTGTCCATTAGAGTATGTTAACATTTTAAAAAGTGGCATGGGTATGAGCTCTGAGATTTGTGAAGTTCTGATGTTATTATTTAATGCAGTTAGCTTACACATACGCGTTAGTATATTATATTTTATTTCACAAAGGCACAAACCCCATAGGAACCAATTCACTGAACATACATGCCAAGTCTGTAACCCTCGGTTAAAAACCACCAAAAATAAAACTGCAGTGAAACCTCACTATAACGTCCACTAGATTGACAAACTTTTAATAAATGCATTTTGCCAAAATCCTCGGCACGATCAAATGTTAAACATCTCAAAATAACATCATATTAATGTGCATTGCATATTAACTTAATTTTTAAAAGTTCTGGTAATTGTTTACCGCTTCGTACCAGCTTGGTATTACAGCCTATAGAATCGCGGCAGCCTGACAAGCATTAGCTATGATGTCATCGTGCAAATAACGTCAGCCAAGCCAGTCCACTTGACACTGCCATGTGGCCTTGCTTGTGATATCTCAACTCGCTGGCGAGAACGAAGCGTGGAGAACGAAGAGCGGAGAACGAAGCGCGCCCAATGGATTGGCTGACAGTTTGCATGGCATTGCCATCAAGAGAGGTTGTAAAGGTTCATATTCTTGGTTCTTTCGGTAAAGTCACGTAGAAGGGAAATAATAAAATAATAAAAATAAAACATAGTAAGATAAAAGAAATGTGTAGTTTTTATTATTTCCCTTTTACGTGACTTTACCGAAAGAACCAATAATATGAATCCATGCAGTCACGAAAGCTTTAAATCGAAGTTGGAAAGGTTGCTGATGTATTCATATATCCATCGAAGACAAATGTAAACACATGAAAATGTACCACACTATCATATTTATTAGGCTCTAGCCTATTAATATAAGTAAAAATGGTGAAATTTGTAAAACAATTTGAAAGTGTATTTCTTGCAATTTCAGATTAAAGTATTTTCATAATGTAAAAAAAATGAATAAATACAGGTTATCCACACCTATGTTGTAACGAGATTTCACTGTACATGTATAAGCAAATTGAAAACACTCTGAACTGTTGTGTTTAATTAAGTAAAAATAAATAAACAGTATTCGGAACCAAAATCATCAGCTTCTTCACTCGAGCGCCCAAACAGAGGGTTTAAAGCATGAGTTGTTTGATGAAATCACCCAGCTAATTTCGGTCTCTTAAAAACCCGACAGCTCGAATATAAAGGCAAGACTTAGCGGGTAGCAAGGTGGCTTAGGGGAGTAATTCCTGTAATGGTAGCGAACCAACACTGCTAAAATCCTGTGTTTTAATCCAGAGTTGACAACATGAAGTTACATTTAAAGTCTGATGTTAAGGCATTATTACACTATCATTGTTGTAAAGCTCCGTCGTTGGGCAGGTGACATCGCGAGTTTGGATGGTCGATGGATGAACTTCTGCGAGAGTTGCAGTGATAACAGCGGCTCGTGTGCAAGGGTACGCTCGATTGCGACTTCGCAAGACCACGCGCGGTGTAAACGGCGTGGATTGATCATGGCTGATCATATCACAATACTTTTTCAACTATACATTCTAAAATTCAACATTACATTTTTGTCACTGAAACGACGCAAACTAAGAAAAAAACAGACCTCTTATCGTGTAGAGATAGATCTAATCGGTGTTTCAAGCCCGACAGGAATATCTTATTTGACAGGTACTAGTCTATTTTAACGAGTTGTTGACATCCCCAGCGTTTAACAGTGCTATTTTTTGGTTTTGGAAGCCAACATCTGCAGTAATTCTTGCGGAGGTGCTTAACAGCTGTACTTTCCCTTCTAGCCCCGCCCACCTTCCCCTTCTAGCTCTGCCCACCCTCCCAGCTCCTCCCCCCTCCCCTTAAGCAGTATATAAGATCTTGTCTCTTGGATTTCTCTTCACTTGATACAGTAAATTTGGCTGTCACGGTCCCACCTGAAGACGTAGACTTGTGTTGCCTCCGAAACGTCGTGATTTTATTGAGTTATTTTCATTTATTATTATTTTATTATTATTTTTTACCTACGTGACTTTACCGAAAAAACTTAGAATATGAATCCTTGCAGTCACGAAAGCTTAAAATCTAGAAGGAATATTAAGTTTTGCGAACAATAAAAGACACTTGAAAGCCACAATGAGGAGCATCGTGTGATGCCATTGCAATGACTGCCATATACAGGGCGCTTCAAAAAAATGTTAACACTTCGGAGAATTTGCAACAATATCACGAGAAATGTGCCTCCGAGGCTCTGGAGACCACCTGGAGAAGATTCCAGGCACGCGTTGACAGTGATGACGAACGAGTAGAGACTCTATGACTTTTTGAAGCTATTAACATCACATTTGTCATCATGTTGCAGTTTATTATCCGTTCTTTCCCCATTAAAAACGAAGTGTTAACATTTTTTGAATCACCCTGTACATGAATAAAAGTCATGATGTGTGGTCGCGTCACTGTTATATTTTAAAATGTAATTTCGTCACACTGCATTATATTACGACATATTATAGTGGTGTTCCTGAAAGTCACTTTCAATAATTTTTCCCATTAACAAATCTTCAAATACCTGTCTAAAAGCCCAGGGCACACACAGCCTATGTACTTATCTGGGAAATAACCACAAAAGTGTATGTTTTTTAGACTGTGCCTTCCTTTAATTTTACTGCAGTCATAGATATGCCTGCATTTATCCTTGAGATGACTGCACTAGAATTGTCTTCAGAAAGACGTGACATTTTTACTTAGTGCAATTCTTCAGACGAAATAGGACTAATGATATAGTTGTAACTAACGTTACATAATACATTGACATAGCATGGTTAAAGAAACATGGCCAAAGTAAATAATCGCGTAAAAACAAAGTGCGCTATGGATCTTTTCCCTCTGAACATAACGGAAAGGGTGATTAATTTAGAACACTCTTCTTTGGCCATGGCACAGAAACTAGTATCGATATAAATGGCTAAACCAGTACTTTTTCAACAGGTGGGCCCTCTGACATCCACTGCTGCTTCTGACATGGTCACTTGACAAGCCAGCTATGATGTTAGCACGCTTGAGCCACGTTTGGAAGGTTGACAGTTTAAATCTTGTTTTGGGTTTCGACTTAAAATATTCTTCCTCGGGGGTCAATTATATGAATGCTACTTCGTGGGAATTCAACTGTTGGTACTTTCAGGAAAGTCACGTAGAAAAAAAAACTATTTTATTATTTCCCTTCTACGAGACTTTACCGAAAGAACCAAGAAGATGAATCCCTGCAGTCACGAAAGCTTTAAATCGAAATTCAACTGTCATCATTATATTGTTGATAGACCGCCCCCAATCAATGAATGTGGAATTTACACATTCACTGGATCGGGGATACCAATGGACATGAGTGGACTATAATGGTTGTTTGGCCAGGGAGAAACTGTGATTTTGGATGACACAAAGTATATTAATGTTATTCAAGTATGTGTTTTTAGATATATGTAACTTAAATGTAAGGAATTTTCTCTTTTGCCATTTTGGTTATGACACTGACATTGAATGGTCCATACTTGTGAATGACGACTCTGCGTTATTATCATTAACTTGAAAGTAGGCAGCATAAGTTAGTAATTTCCTTAACTATTGGGCAGACGTGGCATTGAAAAGATCTATAAAATAACATTCCATAAAAAAAAATGAACGAGGAATTCAAATAGAAGACTGAATGTAAAACACTGGGTGGAGGGGGATTCACTATTCCTGAGTTACATTTTTTTTTACTTTATGCAAAAAGTTACTCCCTTCCAAGCCTCCACAAGACACAATGCAAACATTTGAGCAACCAATTATAATCTGGCCAGGTGGCACTGGTTATCACACATCTCACATTAAGGTCGTGTCCAAATCTGGTTTGGGGTTTACTCAGCCCATATCTCTGATACAATGAGTACCACTTTGTCAGATATCAATTACGATCATTGCATGAAATCATGCTCCCGAATTTCCACCACTGGCTCAGGACCACCAATAGAAATGAGTGCCACCCCGTGTTTGTAAGAAGACACTTTCATCTTGACATGAACTATGATGTACTTATGCAAATTATTAAGATGACAAAAGCTAAAATGCAAGTTAAATTCACTCTAAATGAGTCAAGCAAGACAGAAATCCAATGGCACAATAGCTTAGCAAACACATCTATACAGGGAACATTTTGTCATGTACTCGTGTTTACTCGAAATACTGGCAAGGGCCGTCTAAGCTCGTTATCACCTTTTGTGCTGGTGAAATGAACAGCAACTGCTGAGGCTGTATGTCCATGTATGTTCAACATCTTTTGCACCGTACGTTGCCAACCGTGCTAATCCGAGGTGTGGAATCGCATCTCCGATGAACCCTTAAGTTATTATTTAAATCTGTTTTTAAAATAAATATAGAGGCTAATAATATTAAACCCCAATTAAAAAACTATGGCAACATGTAAAAAAAAAATAGTAACACACATTGTACTCTTCCAAAATATATTAATTGTTTTTGCTTGGTATGGAAAACATGTGGAGTTTGATTTTTTTTTAAGTTGCTCATAATTTTACACGTGTGGATACCCACATTCATAATTTGGCTCGATGGATCAGGGGGCCAATGCCTACATTGGTGCATTCAGCCAGCACTGCTGAGATCCTGGGATAAAATCAAGGAGTCCACTCAAGGTTCTGTTGTGCAGCAGATTTGATGTTCTTAGCCATGCGTCAATGATTGCACAATATTAGTTGACATTTGTTTTTTGACTAGATATGGTCTGATAATAAAAAAGCCATGGTAACCTATTCGCCACAAAACATGAAGTCTTGTTATATTGTATTAGATAAGAGGCCTATAGGTAACACAGACAATAGTCTCTTCCAGGGTTTTTTTTTCTCAAATGTCACATTGTTATGAGGAATAAAGGTAATTTAATGAACACATGTTATTCGTACCTCGACTCCACTAGAACTCAAGTCCAAATTCAAGTTAAAGTGTTTCGCTGCTCAAACGAGCACCGGGGCAGTGCTCATCTTTGTTGGGTGGTCCAAAGCTGGTGGTGGAAATTCCACATAATTTGAGCAAGTTTATCTCTAGGACAAACACTAATGACTCACCAAGTGGTATGCATTTTACCAAACGCAAAATATGATGAGCTTGGTACAATCCTGATTGTTATTTTCATTTGAAACCCTCGAACTGCGAGTTGAGTTCTGTATAAGAGTGCTATATGGATGATTAAAGCACAACTTGGATAGAAGATTACATTCAAAATAAACCTATACACTGGAACAGTGGATGTCTGATAAACTCGCATCCTCCACAGTAGTGTGGAGTTTCCACTACTGGCAAGATTGCCAACACTCATCAGAGCAGAGACAGTGAATTCGCCTTCACCACATGCGAAACAAAAAAAATAAAACCACGTAACAAATGAGCAACTTATACAGATGTCAGCTCCCTAAATGTCACTCCACTGGAAAATCAATTTGGCAGCTTGGCATGTGTGGTAGCCGTTCTCCTTGTGGGCACAAGGTGCCGGTGTGGAATGGGGGAGGCGTGAGTTGGGTGCGGGCAGGGAGGGGGTGGGGAGAGGCGGTCGGTCACACGTTGTAGTCGGCGCTCTTCCCGGCGGGCTGCCACGCGCACACCTGCGCGGCCCCCATGATCGACGCTCCCACGTGGAAGAGCAGCTGCCAGGCCGTGCGGGTGTCGGCGAGGCGTGCGTTGCACGCGCACACCACGGCGAGTGACGTGAGAGCTTTGGCTTTCCGCCAGTGGCACTGGCGCACGAGCAGGGAGCACTGCGGCGGAGGGGAATGAGAGAGTAGGAGGGAGGAAGACACATGCACGCACAGACATATATCAAAAGTAAAAAACAAAAGGTGTAGCGTGCTCATATCACTGCAGGTAAAACGGGCCTCTCCTAAAGAGAGATTTCGAAAGTGCCTCTGGAGGGTATTTGGCCTTCTCTTCCAAACTCGTGAGAAGTCTTGAAAGGGTTGGGGAGTACCCACAACTGTACCCACCACATGCAAACCTGCCGATGGACTATGGTGTAGCTATTTATACTGCTGGGTGGACAGGTGTGGGGGAACCGGCGACATTTGGATTGCGAGTCCCGTGTAACAAGAATTAATGACAGCAGTTTCCTGCGTACACAGTACAGCCCTTTGTCAAAGCACTGCTGGACAAAGGCCTTCCCATGCCATGCGGGTCGTCGGGGTTATTTGACCATACGTCACCATCCTGCGGTGAAGGTAGCGAGTACGGATTTGGAGGCACATAAGTACAGTAGTAAAATAGCTTTTGCTACACTGCCCTCTGCTGCCCGCAACGTGGCTGCGCACATACCGACGAAAAGACGAACAAGTCGGCGCACACGGGTACAGAGCGCACGCGCACACACGCATCTACCTTCAACAGTCCGGATTTGTATTATTATGATCATGATTGTATTACGCTTGTTAACCCAGGATAGCCTCACTAAGTCTCATGACTTATTTTTCAGGAGGATCCTGCAAAGTTTTTGCAGCATGGGCGATGGTTGCTATGTATAACCACAACTGAGTAATTTGTGGGTATTTGTAAAAAAAAAGTAGCAAATTTGGACCACGACACCAACACACAATGGCCCACTCTTGAGAATGACACCACGGGATGTGCACTGTGAAAGCAGACGACGTGATAATGTATATTCTTAGGTTTTTTCGGTAAAGTCACGTAGATAAAAAATGAATAAAAGTAAAATAAAATAAAAATCACGACGTTTCGGAGGCAACATAAGCTTCCGTCTTCAGGTGGAACCGTCACAGCACGTGATAATGGTTGGTACACCCCACTTGCATTGAACAGTCAACTTCTCCAGCAAGCGCCATACGTGCTACTGCTAGGCCAGGGGTCGGCAACCGCATGCGGCTCTTTAAGGGCAGCTTCGTGACGTCGTTTATTCAGGGCCACCGTCACATATTCTCACGTTCTCACGCAGTTTTTTTTTTATAGATTTCGAAAACAATGTTTCTTATTATTTTGGTTGCCGACCCCTTTGCTAGGCTATATCACCGCCTCTGACAGATGTATTCATTGTACAAAGATCCCTTGTGTGACGTTATAGACTGTAGGAGTAAGTCATGTGAACAAGCACCGATTATTACAGCTGGTACAGCACACAATAAAGATGATTTAGCCAGTTCCAAGCATTGTATCCCGTCTCCCAAATAGCTGATGTATGAGCATATCAGGTACTCATGTAAGCCTGTATTCACCAATGGATGTCCAAGACAAGTTCAATACAACTTGCCACCGATGATGCTTCTTGGACTTGAACACTTGTTGCACGAACCTCTGTGACCCCACTCTCCACACTTACACACAAACATACACATGCATTTATGTACACTTGCATCCACAGGAGTGCACCGTACCTGATAGAAGGATGTGGAACATGCGAGGAAAAACACCATGATGTTAAACGAGCCTTCTCCATCCTCCTGCACAATCAAGGGACAGAGTAAGGGAGGTTGATTTTAACCCCTCACTACACCGAATAAGCATCATTGCACACCGTCAACAGGCTAATGTTAAACACATAACCAGGTAGTGATGCATACTTCATCATTAACTCTATCGAATAATGGGCCTTCAATATCAGTGGTTCCAGGAGCACTTATTTAAGCAAAGAAAACCATGGATTGGCTAAAACTTTCCCAAGTCTCATCAGCAGGATGTGGTTGATTCAAACTGCTACTGGGTCACTTGGGTGTTACAGGCAGAGTGCTCTCCGTGTACATTGTGGGGTCAAATGCCATATTCAGCTGCACTCGGTAAAAAAAAAACATCTTTCATAAAAAAAAACCTTGGTAGACTGGAGGTACATGGCTAAGGTGTTTAACAGCAGAACAAGAAGTAAACCCATGTCTATGCATTGATTATTTAACATCTATTCGTCCTAGGAAGTATTTATTTTGTGACAATCGCATTAGCACCTGCGCAAGACGTGCAGGAAGCAATACGTCCGTAAGCAGAGATGGACATCAGGAATTTCTCATCAGCTTTTCACGGGAGGCCACGGGAGACCCTTGACATTTGCCATGACAATTTGTATTTAAAAAGCAGGAAATTGGTAAACGTGGAAAGGCGGACGGACGATGGAGAGTTTTGATGACGAAATATTTGGAAACCCTTGAGTGAGAGGAGAAGGTGTCTCTTTGTTAGAGCCATTGTGAAAGGGAGGTGCCTCACCATGAGCGTGTTCTCTAGAAGGTGGAATCCCCGCACCAGGTTGAGGAGACCGCACACGAAGTTGAGCAGCAATGAGATGGCTCCAGTGACACTAACGGGGCCCAGGTGCGATCGGGGGGCTACCAATGAGAGGACAGGGATAACGGACTCGCACATACACAAGCAGCATGCACAGAACCCCGTTAAAAGTCATTCACTAACGTAGAAACACCACAAACACAGCACACCAGAGCTGAGCCAAGTGACTCATCATTGCCGTGGGTCTTGTTGTTGCCTTTTTATGTTAACGAACTGCACGCGACGCTATTTTCAGGTCGAGTTGACCATGAGGAGGGCCCAGGACAGGTTCACACACCACTTGCCATGGATACAATTTATTGCTGGGAATAAACACCCAGGTATCCGGGTTTGTAGAACATATTCATTCGCCACTGTGCCGCTACTTCCCAAACACACAGAAACACTGACAACGACAACCACCGTTCGCCACTAAGTGACGGTGACATTACCATGGCACTTGTGCCTAAGTGCACATTTTTTTTACTTGTTAAAATTTGGACGACAATGGCATACCGTTTTGAATGACGTCACGGGATTTTAAACGTCCACTGTGAAGAAGTTGTCACGTTTTTAACGGTTAATACACCTGCAGTATTAACCAGGGCGGCCGCCAAGTTCGAACAGGGAACGGCTGCAAAACAAGTGACGAACAAACTACCGCTGGGCCATGTCACCGCCCAAAATACACTCACCTACAAAGACAAAAATATCCCCCGTATAGCCTTAACAGACTGTTGGGGCAAGTGCTGTTAGTGAGCACCTATGAAGGTTGGTACAGTACACGAGGGGGTTGGTGGCCAACAAAACGTCCAACTGCCTTTGTCTCCCCCAGTGGCAATGTTGTTACACACCGCACCACCAGGTACTTCTTTGAGGCCGAGTCGACCTAGGAGAGGCCCAGTACCGGTTCAGATAATCGTCACTGGTGTTGGCCGTGAGCGGGAATCGAACTCGGGTCGCCGGGTTCGTAGCGCAGGGCGCTAACCGCTACACTACCGCTCCCCACACCCACCCACTAACACCTTTACACACACACGGGGACATACACAGGGGACATACACAGGCTCGTGTGGACCGGCTCTGTACTGGTGGACACCCCTCCGTTGGCAAAGTCTCTCTCCGACAGCTGATGCGGTGGCCTCAGGCGCAGCTCGGTCTGCAGCTCGGTGAGGTTGAGGCGAACGCTCAGCGACCGTGGGCTGTTGTACCTCTGCTTCGTCTTCTGGATGAAGGTGTCTGCTCGCCAGAGTCCGACATCACTCAGTGTCACCATTGCAAGGTTAATTCACTCCCCGAAGTCGCTGTGCTATGTAATCCAGTAAGAGCCTCAAGTGATTCATTATCATCATTGCAAAAGTTATACACTACGAGTGCAAATATTTTCAAACTTAGCAAGTGCCCAAAGTGATTTTTGCCACTACATGGATGCTTTGCTACCCGTGTTGGGAGGGTTCATGATGAAAAGTAGTTGTTCATTATTAATTACTCCAGGTCATTGGTCCCCACATTTCTGGAGCTGTAGACCACTGTCATTCGAGGCTAAATTCACCTAAAAGGGACCTATGACAGTTTTGGATACCATTCGCTTCTGATGTAGCACGTGGTTGGGAATTTAACCCACATCTCAGGAAGCGTAGCATTGTGCAATGACCATTGTAGAGGAGTGCACATACAGATCCCCTATATAGTCAGATTGTGGGGTTAAGTGCTGTTAGCGAGTACCTATGAAGCTCTCCATGGCATACCAGGGGGTAGGTGGCCACAACCATGCCCGGCCCCCTTCGACTTCCCAGTGCTAATGTTTACACACCACAGCACGTACTCATTTAAGACGGAATTGACCTAGGGGAGATCCAGGATCAAATAATAGATTTGTCACTGACATTGACCGTGAGCGAGAAATTATCTTGGGTCGCCGTTTTGGTCGCGCAGCACAACAACAACCACCGCCATTCACCACTAAGTGGCGGTGACGTCACCACGGCGCTTATGCCAGGCTATGTGCACTTTAAAGCCACGTGAAGTGTCGAATGCCCGCTGGCAGGGGATCACGGGAGACCCAGGTGCCACGAGTTGACTGATATGACTAGCCGATGCACCACCTGTGCCCCGGTACTAGCGCAGTACACTAACCACGACACTGCCGCTCCCCACACTACAACCGCACCCATGCCTCCTGCCGAGGGATATGCACACGCACGCACGCACACACTCACCGAACTCGATGAGGCAGTAAGGCCGCACGGCGGTCTCGATGCGCGCTCGCTCGTACGTGGACAGGAACTCGCGCTGCAGCTCATCCAGGAAGGAGAAGGCGAGAACGGCCGGGTAGGCGTCCTCGCACACCAGCATGTACGCCACGCCCAGCGCGCTGATGAAGCTGCACGTGCAAAGACAACGACGACGGCGCGAGGGGCAGTGTTATTATCTTCTTTATTTGTGTTGCTGACAGAAGACCCAGCGGTGGTTCGTCATGAGGGGACGTTGGGGTCTCGCTGGTGAAAAAAAACCAGCTCAAGAATTCCCATTTGCTCCTTAAAAGATAAAAATGAGCATAAAGCTCTCCTCCCCGATCACCTTATCCAACCGCACACGGGCTTATGTGCTCTACCGATATATACCCACTGGGCACCCTGGATTTAAATCTGGACAGTGTAGAGTGGTGATGGTCTCAGTCCAATCACCAAAGATTGCATGGAAAAATCACGTTACATTTGGTTTGCCACTTTATTCAGCATATTCCAGCTCTGAGGACTATTTTTTCTGTTTTCAAAGTGACATACACCTCTATAGCAGGGCATGCGGGAAGGTGTGCCACCTGGTGGTGATAAGAGGCAAATGACAGAATCTCAGAATATCTCTTTGACATCTAAAGGCCAGGGTGATGCCTTCTCATTGGTGTACAGCTCATTGTGAGCATTCCAAATAGAAATGTATTCATCTCATTAGTATATGCCTATCGTACAACTTAAATTTAATGGGGAGAAAATAAATTCATGGTTTTAATCATGTAATAAACCATATGATATTCCTTGGGTCTTTCGGTAAAGCCACAAAGATAGAAAAAATTATCAAAATAATAACAATATCACGACGTTTCAATCGCAAGACAAGCAATCTTCTTTTTTCACCTGACGACGATTGCTTGTGTGGCGATCGAAATGTCGTGATATTGTTATTTTGATTTTTTTTTATCTACGTGGCTTTACCAAAAGACCCAAAGAATATGAATTCCTGCAGTCACGAAAGCTTTAAGTCAAGATTAAACCATATGATGTAAATGAGGTTTTTAGTTGAAATGAAGATGGCATCTCATTCGGTGACAAATGTGGGCATGCCGACGAGCGTGGAGCAGTGCATGCTGCATGGACCGAAGTTCTAATCCTGCAAAGAATGAGAAAAAAGTAAATGAAAAAGCCTTAATGTCCGTGAGCTTTCAGGTGACCTGAAGAAAGGTGGCATCTCATTAGGTGACCCACAGACGGTGCGGGGCATACTGGATACGCTGGGAGGGTGCGGCGCCCAGGGAGCAGCGGTCAGGCAGAGCGGACAAGCGCCGCGACAAGAGCTTGAGGCTTCGCTTGCTCGCTTGCAGCGCCGCCGTCGGCTGCTGGTCCGTGGAGGCCGACAGAGGCAGCCCGTCGCGCACACGCACCACCGATGCAAAGAGAACACCCGACATGGCCCTGCAGGAGGAGAACAGCGCAAGGGAGGCAGAGTGAGTAAAGACGCCAACACTGCAACTAATGATGACAATCTACTTGGTTCTTTCGGTAAAGTCACGTAGAAGGGAAATAATAAAAATAAAACATAAATAAAATAATTCTCACGACGTTTCGCCCACAACGCAAGCAGCCGTCCTCAGGTGAAGAACAGGTCTGTCGGAAAGACAGCGTCTGAATGATGTAAATGGGCTTTTAGTTGAAATTAAGATGGCATCTCATTCTTTTCAGACGCTGTCTTTCTGACAGACCTGTTCTTCACCTGAGGACGGCTGCTTGCGTTGTGGCCGAAATGTCGTGAGAATTATTTGATGTTTTTTTATTATTTCTCTTCTACGTGACTTTACCGAAAGAACCAAGAAGATGAATCCCTGCAGTCACGAAAGCTTTAAATCGAAATTTAATGACGAGGCTTGAAGAAAAGTATCCTCCCCGTCGAGGTTCGTCAGTTTAACACGTAGGCTTTGCGTCCAATATCATCCATAATACAGGTTTGTTGGGTAGGATCGCGTAAATAAACGTGTCGTTAAACCCTCCACCTCCCGACACAGCCAGGGTGGTGGCGGGTTAAACGACACATTTATATATTTACGCGATCCAACCCAAAAAAAACCCCGATATCATGGATATTGGTCGCAAAAGCCTACGTGTTAAACTAACGATGAGGACACGGGGTTTTTAACATCCGGACGGCACGTTTTGGTTGTTCCACAGTAAAAGAGTGCAGATGAAACCCGGACACAGGACAAGTGTTAACAATCATGTACTCTTAACTGTCAACAGTTGGAGAGGCTCTTGATTAAAACACACACCTCACTGGATGTGCTGTGCCTCCGGTTTGTTGTTTTGTAACCCATGTCTGGAATGTTATTCATATGCTCAATGCTTGTATGCTGTGACTGTTGTTTCCATGTTTGAATACCTTGAGCAATGTTTTAAAAAGTAGGCTTTCGCGACCAATATCATCCATCATACATGTTTTTTGGGTTATATCGTGTAAATAAATGTGTCGTGAAACCCGCCACCACTCGACACACCCAATTAGTAAGATTTGTCACGTAAACAGAACGTGCCAATTTGTTACATCACACCGGTGTATTGGAGAGCAAAGCCACAACATTTACAACTGGAGTACGACGTTTCGCCAGTAATTATAACTAGCTTCATCATGCGTCGTACTGAGATTGTAAATGTTGTGGATTTTCTCTCAAACACTAGTAACAAATTGGTATGTTCTGTTTACATGAGAAACCTTACTAAGTGGCTGGATTTAACGACACATTGATATATTTACGCGATCTAACCCAAACAACCCGTGTTATGGACCTTGAGTAATGTTTGTGTTTAAATTGTTAATTTCAATATTTGTCATATTTGAACTTTGATTAAAAGAAATACATTTTGTATGTTCTTTTTGTAAGTTATTCATTATTAGCATGTGCTTCCTGGCTGCAAACTGGAATAAATGTTAACCTCTTTCATTCCTCACCGTAATTTCAAGCTTACCAATCATGTTCAACTCTGCAACGTTAACAGATGTTTGCAATCAAGTTCCCATTACACTCTAAGGTTTCTCACGTGTCAAACGTGAGGTGCAGAACAGAAAATAAATATTCTTGGTTCTTTCGGTAAAGTCACGTAGAATTGAAATAATAAAAATACAAATAAAACATAATAAAATAATTCTCACGATGTTTCGGCCACAACGCAAGCAGCCGTCCTCAGGTGGAGAACAGGTCTGTCGAGAAGACAGACTCTGTCAGACTCTGTCTTATCGACAGACCTGTTCCCCACCTGAGGACGGCTGCTTGCGTTGTGGCCGAAACGTCGTGAGAATTATTTTATGTTTTATTTTTATTATTTTATTATTTCCATTCTACGTGACTTTACCGAAAGAACCAAGAAGATGAATCCCTGCAGTCACGAAAGCTTTAAATCGAAAAGAAAATACATATTTTAGTCTGGTCTTAAGATTATTGGTTTTCACCATGCTGAAATGTGTGGTATCCTTCTTAAGAAGCTTAATCTCATGATGTTGGTCCACTTATTTTCATCACTTGTTGTTGGGAGAATATATTTGGCTAATCTTTTAACTTCGAGTGATTAGAGACGTAACGTAAGCACATTACCTGCTATGACATACTGGAAGAGACATATGGAGGACATTGGCAAAAAGTGTGGAGCTGCACACTTGGCATTGCACTGCAAAGATTAGCACGATTTGCTACGTACGGTGCGAAAGAAGTTTAACGTTATATTGTTTTGCCAGGTAAGGCCCACTGAGATAAGCGTCTCCTTTTCAGAAGCGACCTGTCCACAAGTGATAGCTCAACAAAGCGGCTAATCATTTAGAAAGATATAGCAAATACCCTCAATGCGACCACAGGGAGAACGTGCAACCTTCAAATACACAACAGGCGTGTCAGGGTGGGGATCGAACCCAGGAACGTACTCGTGTACACCAGGCGAGGTAGTTAACATCTCGGAGTAGAGACCACGCACACACAGGTCAAAGGGTCACCCTCCCTGTGTGTGAAGGGGACTTGAGCTGGACATGTCGCTGTCAAAGGTTGATGGCCGGTGGGTGGTCAAGCCCAGGGGTGGGTGGTCAAGCCCAGGGGTAGGTGGTTAAAGCCAGGGGGGGGGGGGGAGTAGGCAAACACAAATAACAAAAAACATTTTTGGTCACGAATTTGGTAACTAAATTAAAAAATGTTTCAATGCGCTGGTGTGGCGAATACGAGACGGCGGTGGTCCTTACATTTAAAATAGAAAGGGTCACGAAGCAGTCCTTTAAAGAGCCCTGGTCAAGACGCACGAACCGAGGAGTCGTGACATCGGTGGGATGGGCATTCATCGAGCAGCGGAGTGAGCATGGCCGAATATCGCAATGCCGACGCGTTACCGCTGCACAAGTGTGGATATAAATTTCGATTTAAAGCTTTCGTGACTGCAGGGATTCATCTTCTTGGTTCTTTCGGTAAAGTCACGTAGACGGGAAATTATAAAATAATAAAAATAAAACATTATTAAATTCTCACGACGTTTCGGCCACAACACAATCAGCAGCAGCAGCAGCAATGCCACAAGGCGCCATCCATATTTGACCGTCGACGTAGCCAAGGCGTTTCACATCGTTCCCTACGTCGCGTCTTTGCTTTATCGTCGTTTTAATAAACAATAAAGAGAGAGGCACGAACACCCTGCCAGCCCTGCCCGCCCTGCCGTGTGTGGAGGGTGAACAAGGGGGAGGAGGAGGCCGCGGCTGGGTGCCGGCCACGCCGAGGCCTGCACACACACGGAAGGCCGCAGACGCCGCCACCACCACCAGTAGCAGCGCCGCCTTCTTCGTCTTCCTCACCTCGCACGCAAAGTAAACACCGCAGCCTCACGCGGGCTCAGGCGACACGAAGAAGAAGCACGGAGGAGGAGGTGGTGGTGGTGGAGGGGAGATTGTGTTGTTGTTGTTGTCGTCGCTGTTGTTGTTGAACCCCAGGAGTTTGAGGGCCGCGTCAAACAAAATCTCTCGCAGAGGCAGCGCGGGGGCCAGGGCGGCGAGTGGAGCGCCGAGAGCCTCGATCCGCGGTGGCCCGGTAGGGGGGGGGGTGGTGGGGAGGGGGGGGTGGTGGTGGGGGGATGGTGGGGAGGGGGGGTGGTGGTGGGGGGGGGGTGGTGGTGGGGGGGGTGGGGGGTGGTGGTGGGGGGATGGTGGGGAGGGGGGGTGGTGGTAGGGGGGGGTGGGTGGTGGGGGGGGTGGGGGTGGTGGTGGGGGGATGGTGGGGAGGGGGGGTGGTGGTGGGGGGATGGTGGGGAGGGGGGGTGGTGGTGGGGGGATGGTGGGGAGGGGGGGTGGGGGGATGGTGGTGGTGGGGGGATGGTGGGGAGGGGGGGTGGTGGTGAGGGGATGGTGGGGGGGGGTGGTGGTGAGGGGATGGTGGGGGGGGGGGTGGTGGGGGGGGTGGGGGGGGGGTGGTGGGGGGGGTGGTGGGGGGATGGTGGGGGGGATGGTGGGGAGGGTGGTGGGGGGGGAGGTGGGTGGTGGTGGGGAGGGGAGTGGTAGGGGGGGGGTGGCCCGGTAGGGAGATGTGGTGGTGGCGGTGGGGTGGAGGTGGTGGCGGTGGGGTGGTGGCGGGGGGGGTGGTGGTGGTGGTGGTGGGGGGGTGGCCCGGTAGGGGGAGGTGGTGGTGGGGGGTGGCCCGGTAGGGGGAGGTGGTGGGGGGGTGGCCCGGTTGGGGGAGGTGGTGGTGGAGGGTGGCCCGGAAGGGGGAGGTGGTGGTGGTGGGGGGTCGGTGGTGGTGGGGGTGGTGGTGGGGGGTCGGGCATCATCCAGGTAATTTCGTCACAGGCAAGGTGCATGACTATACGAGTCAAACGGGCAAGAGTATTTATTAGAGAAACTTTATTACTATCTTGCCATAAAACGGTTGGTTGGTTATTCCATGTACGGGTCATGATGCGGTTCTATTTGGGAGGCTAGTATGTAGGATGTGACTTAATATATATACCCACTTATTGTAATACATTTCTTCACATTGTTTCGCAAAAATACAGTTTCCCTGAATATTCCAATTGATTTGAAATACATTCACGCAAATTTGGAACTTAATGTGACGTAAAGGGACTGAAATAAAAACCCATTACAAAACTAAATGAGTCCGAGTTTTGTCCCATGGCCTTTATTGAAGTGGTTTGCATCATATTGTTTTGCTAAAATCATCTATACAACATCCATCAATATCAACAAAGCAGTGCCTTTCTCAGATTAAAACAAGACACGAAGGGCATGTCTTTGCAGGGTTGCGGGGATGAGTGCTTCAGTAATTCCAACTGTAAACACCGTTGATACGAGACAACGTTCCGATTACAAAAATATCGTCAGAATTTGTTTTCTTACAAAAAAAACACGAAAGCTGCTTTGCTTCATTTTGCATTCAAATTCACAAACGCACATGCGTACACGCAATACCGAAATCCGCTCAGAGGTCGAAAAGGTGGAATTTTAAACAAAGGCATACATTTGTTCAACACTGGCATATAAAAGCAGTGATAGTGAAAGCCCCCTATATCTCTACGTGGCTTTGTAAGTCTCTTTGCAGGGTGTTTAGCTGAATATATTTAAACACAAACATACAATGACAAAGAGTTTCCATGAGCAAACACCTACTAAACCAGCACACCATACGAGGGAATGGCAAGTGAAAGACTGCCAGTTGCATCTCCCCAATGCTCATGTATTTCCACCACACGAGACATTCATTTAAGGCCGAGTAAGACCTGGGTGAAGGTTAAATATAGGTTGAGATAACCCTCACCACGTGTGTACTGAGTCAGATATTGAGCACATGTTTCCAAGATCATATAGCACAGCACAAATCATTTTTTGCCAACACTCCTCATACACACGAAAACAACATCAGAAACGGATCCAAATTCAAATGTGGAATTTCAAGCAAAAGCACAAATCTGCTCAATACGCTTGCATATACAAGCATTGGTCTTAAAATCTTCTATATTACGCTGTTATTTATAAGCCTCTTTTATCAAGGGTGGTATTTGCATATTTTTAAACACATTCACACAAAGCAGCTGTACATGCACCAATGTGAAATTCATAAACTTAACCGTGCAATGTTGCAGAAGGCCAACTCCCTTATAATTGACTCCTGGATAATGGAGCTGTGATTATGTCCGTCACGCCTCGCAAACATTCTGGCAAGTCCAATTTGTCGGATTGCTTTTAATGTGCAAGTTTGCTTGGTGAATTGAAAGTAAATTATCACTGTGGACACAAAAACATAATTAGCAATTAAGATTAATTTAGAATTGCAGCAGGGATAAATATTGATTTAGCTTGTTCCCATATATGTACATGTAAATGTTCAGGTTATGATGTATCAAGGAACAAACATTTAAACAATTCTCAATCGGAAATTGAGGACACGATTGCTAAACTACGTATTTTAATTGAGGTCTTTCGTCATATTGGATTTTTTTAATACCACCATACCAACAAATGGAAACTCACTTTTGTAAGACTATGGCTTAATTAAGATATTGAAACAGCCCATCATCCCTCCGAGGTGAGTAAAACCAGCATAAATTTGGACAGCAGTATTTTATAAATTTGAATGCAGTGGAACCCACTCTAGGAACATTCGAACAATCAGATCAGGGCCACTGAAGACAATGAGCAACCACCCCACTGCTTAGGAGACACATTTAATCTGGATTATTTAATTGCAAAATGCGTTTTTAAGTAAAAAAAACGTGGCACTTATAACTGTTCACATGCATTGTGAAAAGGATGGACGTCATGACACTGAACGTATCCGTTTACAAAACATCTTTCATCTACGACCCTGAGTCAGTGTTGTAATTCCACATTCCCAAGCTGAGAGTCGGTCTGTCAAAAGGTGAACGACTGCTGACTTCTCACAAAGAGGTACTAATTTTATTCACTCTCGAGGGATGCCGGACTGAATTATTCTCCCCAACCTGGATGAGATCTCCAGAATTTGATAATTCAAACTTCCAAATTGAGTCACGTGCTTTAACCACAGCGCCACCCGGCCGGGTACTAACACATCCCCCCACATTTGTAAGACGTACCATATTCTCGTAGCAGGGACTTAGCAACAATGAAAAGTGTCCGCAAAAGGTTGTAACAGTAGGCAAAATGTATATGGCACCGCAAACATATGGACAAAGCGAATTGGATGACTTGCAACTAATGTGTGGATGTATAATATATAGACGCCACGTGAAGACCAGACCACAACACTTCATCAACATAAGTATTCAGGAGAAGCAAACACCCAATGTATAAAAAAGATAACCTGGCCATTGGCAGATTAGCAGAAGCTTTTTGGCAGCAATGCTGGTGAACAACGTAAGGCTTGGCATGACATTCCCAACAGCACTCATCCTAGGGATAAACCAGCCTCTGTTGCCATAGGAATTTGGAATTCCAGCAGCGGCTCAGGACAACATAGATAAATGTTGCCCCAAGGTTTGTTTGAGCAGGCAAGACACTTTTGACTTTATTTATACAGGAAATGTAATAGCAAGGGCAGTGTCGAGAACATGTGGAAATATTGACAGTCCCAAGGGCATGAATAAGCCACAAATTAAATGCCTACCCCATGCCCACCAAAAGAAGAATGGTAAACATTAACCATCTGGCTTCGTGACATGTATCCTCATTTGATGGCAGAATAGTAACAGCTAAACTTGCTTTTTTAATTACTGTATTCTAAATTAAACGCATTAGCTGACCAATTAATTTTTTTTAAAGATGCATGTCAGCATTGCATATCAATTGTGCGACAGGTGTCATGCCTTGTAATTAAGATTTTTCCGGTGGGACTTTGTGAAAAATGTAACATCACATTATGCAGGGAATGGTCTCCACTAGATGACAATACAGAATAACGTCTGAAGTCATGTGAATACACCTCTTGAACAACACTTAGGTGCCCTGAAAAAGAGTGTTCGTCACGTCAAAATCATACCAAAATGTTTATTTAACACACCTGGATTATGCCGAGTTTAGGGACACATACCATTTTATGAAAAAAATTTGTGCAGTAATTGGTGACCAAAATGAAACCATGAACTAACCACACATGAGCATCCGGTTTATTCCAGGGTGGCTGAAGCCCCAGATTCTAACTCAGGATCCTCATTATTGCTGGCAGTCCTTTAACACAATATTAGAGCCGAACCACCCAGACACCTCAACATTGAGTGTAGATCTCATCGAGGTAGTTTCACCGTGCAGGCTTAGGGCTTTAAATTTATATAAACCTGTTTTTGTTTTACCCTTGAGTAACATCACGAAAGTGATGTCTACAAGCCACGTGGTCCAACGACACCAATCATCATCACCATCACCACCACCGGAAGCATGGCTTCGCCACCACAATACAAACACTTTGCGAGTGAAGCTAAAAAAAGTCGCCCCCCTAAAACACAAATGTGTAACCCATTCTAATGGACTAACTCACACCCTATAGGACACAACCAAAATTATTGAGTCTTATCATTATGCGATTTATACTCCATGAAACTAAGACCAGTCAATTCAACTGTTCGAGAACTAACATATCGCGCAAGGCAATTAGAAAAAAATCACCCTGAAACAGACTCGCCGAGCGTCAAGAATTTTCCAGGAGGCTCCTGCTTGGAACGTCTGGCCAGTTCCTCGAGTTATGGTAACCCTGTGGATAAACCGGCTGATTATATTTTGCTCTTCTCATAAAAAAAAACGCCACGTCAAAACATCTCCCTCCTCGAATTGAGCACGTGGCAGTGTTCTTCTCCACCTGTAGACGAGTCGTTCATTCCAACTTTATTATCAACTCATCATTGGACAGATCGTGGGCTGAAATGTGCACGGCAGTTTAACCCTTTCCCGTTCCGAGACGTCTGCTAATTCACCACTGAATCTCTAAACGCGCAAGCGGCTATTGTTGATTTTATTTAGAGGCGCATCGCTGTTATTTTTAAAGACATTGTACTCACCGTAGAGAAATGTAGCAACACGACCGCACTATAATAGCTGGCGCCAAACTGTGCCACGCCCTCGCGTATGGCCCTCTTCCGATTCCGCTCTGATAACGTACGTGTACGTCATTGGATCAGAATGGGAAGAACTGAAGACGTACACATACGTCATCGGAATGGAAATGGGTTAATCCAAAACCTTGCGACTTTTGAGTAAAGCATTAAAAATAAGGTACCGCCGAGAACGAACTGTTTTGGCTCTACACACGTCTCCTTTACAGGATTGAGCATGCTGGGGTCAGATGAGTTCTAAATGTGGCAGTTGATAAGAATGTTGCGAGTTTTTTTGGATCAAAAGGAAAATAAATGAATTGGTTCTGGGAATGGGCGTGTGTTTATGGCTATGCAGATACAGCGAGTTGTTCAGCACACAAGTCTGCAGAAACAACCAAACAATATTAGCAGAAAGAGGGAAGACGGGCAAGAGGGTGAAAATAAAAGGGGATTGATCACAAGGGATGGGTTTCTCATGACAGAAGAATTCTTCAGAAATGAGAAGGGCAGGAACAGATGGGGATTTGTGGCCGGCACCCTCTTACACAGCACGATTTGTTTACCACTTTTGAGCCTGGGGCCTCACCATGTGAATGTGGAATTTCCACCACCAGCTCCAATTCCGTTGAGCAGGGGGACAGGTTTTACTTGACATTGACTTGTAAATAAGAAAACGAATCTGGGCTCTGACCTGTTTAGAAGACAACGGATGGAATCATCCACACCCACACAAACTATGTCCAAGCACCAAGATGCTTTCTCGATACAAGACTCTAACCTTGACCCACGTAGGTCACTCACTGTCATTATCCTGAACAATGCATCCTATTAGCCCAAATCTTACTGTCAAGCAAGTGAATATGCTCAGAAAGAGAAATCACGCAATGGTAAGCACTACAGCATGTCATTTACAAATGTTTTAGTTATAGTAAGATGTTGATTTACGAACGAAAATTTTAAACCAAAAATATTACACCTATCACGGCAACAATATTGTACAGTAAACCTTATTTGAACCGCGGTGATTGTAAATAGTGCAAAGGTACACTGTGACAAGTAAACAAATTGAAATAAAGAATTATTATAGTTTGCAGAAGTATGCTGGAGTTGCAATGTGAATACGAGTCATCGAAAAACAAGATGTGTGTAATGTTCTCTTTGATACGTTGAGGGTGCAAACTTTTCCAATTATCCAGTACTGGAAGGTTACTTTAAAAAAGTAATCAGCCTCGGACTACTTAAGATTTTACATATAAAGTAACAGAATTCCACGTGTAATTTCCAAAGTAACTCAATAGAAATTGATTACTTTTTAGAGCTTTCCAACTTTGGTTGAAAGTGTTTACGGAATTAGCTCTGTCCATCTGTCCCTTAATAGGGGGTGGGCACTAAGACATACTGAAAACCGCATGTCGGAAAGCATTACATAATCCTTGCCTTCCACGTGATTTATCCTAACTTGATCAAAATAAATTTAGGCTGGTTTATCCGAAGCAATAACAACACTATGCAATGAATTTAGCTATTGCGCAAATGCCAGCGTATTATATTTCTGTGGTAAGCAATCGTCCGTGACAAACGTGGAGTCTTCATGACAATACTACGTATGTTTTTCCATGGTTGTGCTGTTTAGATTTACGATGCATTTTCAGGTTGTACCATTCGTTTTTCGGCACGTTGTCCGACGTTTGTTGCGTGACCTACGTCAGCTTCATCTGCTGCTGTCCTCCTCACATTAATCCAAGCTGTTGACAAGCCATCATTTCCTCCTCCCATTCGGTCTTGGAAGAAACTTTGAATATTTAACGGTAATCATGTAAAAAAAGTAGTCAAGCAGTGCAAGATACATCGTTTACATTCTGACAATGGTTCAATGAGATAGCATTCCCGGAATCTGGCTTTGGTATCTGGCGACAGGAACACGTGACTTGTGAGCAGAGGTCGCAACCGGGTACCCGATACCCATACCCTACCCGATACCCGTACCCGGCCGGGTACGGGTACCCGTTTGCGACCCTGGTGCGGCCAGGTACGGGTAGACCGTGAGTCACTGGTGAGTAACTGTTTGTCACTCATTTCCCAACGTCTTGTCTCTTCTCACAATTCAAGTTCCTAGAATCAACCCACCCGTGCCTGCAACGTGGCTTCATCCCAGAGGTCGCAATCAGGTACCCGATACCCGTACCCTACCCGTACCCAGGCAGGGTACGGGTAGGGTACGGGTACGGGGCCGGGTACACGTTTGGGACCCTGGTGCGGCCGGGTACGGGTACGGGTAAGGAATCAAAACCCGTTTGCGACCTCTGCTTGCGAGGCATCACTCCCCAGCAAATTGGTCCCATGGTCCCATGGTAAAGACTCCCTTATTTCGTATGGATCTAAATTTTGAGTAGCAACTCCAAATCGATGTCTAGGTTGTTAATCCGGGCACAGGTTAATCCCACTCGCGCATTTGGAAGAATGCTCGCAGTGGACATCATTTCAGGATGCGTATGATAAACACCGACCACATCTTGGAATCCTCGGCCAAAGGACACGTTTGTTCACGTGCCGCAGCCCAATGAGCAACGATTTACATTCTGTCGCAGCTGCTACACGTTATTTTCTCAGCTGTTAGGGTATCATCATCATCGTTAACTGGAGAGAATGTTTATTTCGTATAAACCCTTTGACAACGGTGAAGTAAAACAACCTCACGCCATCTGGCTGTAAAAGAAAACCCAGTTGGGACCCACAGGCGAGTAATTGTTGTATGTCACAAGTCCGCTTGTCGCCGCTGCACGACTCTCTGTTGTGCTTTGGGATGGATTGTACCGCGAGTTGCTCGGGACAATGTCTTACGTTGGCCGACATCGGTTCCTGAAGAAGCTCCAAGAGTGTGGAGCGAAACGTCGGACATCGTCCCGAACAAGAACAACAACACTCGGCACAACACGAAAACGCATCGTGTATCGCTGGTTATAAGTATGTGCAGCTTCAGAAAATTGTGCGTAGCATAAACACGATTAAACGTGCAAGACACAGGAGCCAAGGTTAATGGTCAGTAATCGATACACCAATGATAGGAAAAGTGTTCATCAGTTATTTCTTTGCTTTTCACACATATGCATGAGTATGAATTGTTTTGCCTCTTACCCTACTGTCACATGACTTGAAATGTCTTCACACGTTTTAATGTATAACAGATAAGATGTTGCATATATACATGAATATGGTATCTCAATGGGCTCTCACATGATTAAATGAAGGGCTGACTGAACTTGATTTAATGACCGAATGATACATAGCCTTGTAGGTCAATACCTTGATAAGCAGGTTAGGCTTTTCACACAGTCTCTGAAGTGAACTTCAAGTACCAACAAGACTGCGTTTACCATTGGACGCCAAGTCAGCAGGCGAAAACCCCTTTTTTTGTCAGAAGCAGTCAAGACGCTAATCCTGCATAAAGTAGCCTCGTGTTGCCAGGGCTTAAGGGTGGGTTGATGTCGAGGGCCAGTTGCGGTCAGGGTGGGTGTGGAACAGAAGGGGGGGGTGCGTAGTTGGGAGGTGTAGGGGAGCTGGGAGGGACCCAGGAGCAAATCTTTCAGAGTTCGGAATGTGACTTTCCCCGCAGCGAGAGTAGGAAGTTGATAAAGTCAGCCTCCTGCAAGGAGAGACGAGAGAATCAAATCAGACGTCGTGTTACAATACGACACATGTCTTGCAATACTGCCGTGGGTATGCACTGGTCAAACGGCATTTCAGTTTTAAGTCAAGATGTCAACGCTGTCTGTCTCGCTGGTCAAACGAGCGTGGGGCAGTGTTCATCTCTCTCGGTGGCCCCAAGGCAGTGGTGAGAATCCCACATTCTTGTGGTGGGGGCCAGTAGCTGTGTTGTACAACCAATACTACCTTCCCACAAAGCGGTCATCATTGAATTCCAAATTCCAATAAGTACAAAGATATGGTAGTTTAAAATGCGCTGCCATGTAGAAATACAACATTTCTCAACACTCTAAATTTGATCAAAGCCTTTATTTAGACTGGAGGAATCCGATGAACGAAATGAAAGTCTTTTTCACAGATGCACAGTTTGTCTTCATTTGGATGTACTGGCTAAAATCACCCACAATGCACCTGCCAGACAGATGTCAACATCTGAGGAGATTTAAACATGTTTATTACTTAGATGGCAGACAGTCTGGGCGACTGATGTGTTACAGGCTTGAGCTGTGTGGTAGATAGATTGGCAGTATAATCGATTCTTTTATCTGTCTGTGCAGAGTTTGCCTCAAGCCAAATAAACACTCAATCAAGGAAACACTCAATCTGGATGAAGTTGAAAACCAGTGAGGCTTTCCTGGATAAAATAAATAGCACTGTTATGACAAAGTACACTTTGATAACTGTTTTTTTTACCCTTTTATCTGACAAAACTGACACCTTTTTTACAAGGAGTCATGTTTGCATTGACCACAATACCTGCGGTCGGAATGCAAACAAAAAACACAACTCTGATAATGTATGCACTGTCCTTGCAATTGATTGGTCCACACCCGAGACAGCTTTTCTTAGAGCCTAGTCTCACATGGTGTTGGACCAGATGACGCCAAAAGGCGCACTAAAAAAAAAAGGTGTCAGTTTTGTTGCCAGATAAAAAGGTAAAAAAACAATTATCATATTTTTCTACTGGCAAATAAGGTTCCAATAAAGTACACTTTAATGTTATTTTCCATGATATATTCATTTGTTGCGTTTACATTTTTTAAGTTGAATTGAAAACTGAATTAATAATGTTTAACACGGAGGCTTTCGCGACCAATATCATCCATAACAGTTTTTTTTGGGTTAGATCGCGTAAATATATAAATGTGTCGTTGAACGCGTTTGGCACGTTCTGTTTACGTGACAAACCTTCCTAATCGGCTGTGTGTGGCGGGTTTAACGACACATTGTTGCAAAGTAGGGACACTGTACAGGCAGCCCTGCAAGCCCCCACTCACCTGTCTCCCGCCAGTGTACGGCCCCACAAACTTCCCGTATGTGTAGTGGTTCATGGTGGGGTAGCCCCTCACGCCCTCTTGACTGCACAGCTCGTTATTGTCCTGCTTTGTGCAGTCCACAGCTGCCAGGGCCACCTGGTAAACAAATACAGGGCAGAGGTCGCAACCGGGTACACGATGACCGTACCCTACCCGATACCCGGCTACCTGTACCCAGCCGGGTACAGGTACCCGTTTGCGACCCTGGTGCGGCCGGGTACGGGTAAGGAATCAAAACCCGTTTGCGACCTCTGATACAGGGTGCTTCAAAAAAAATGTTCACACTTCTGAGAATTTGCAACAACGCCACAAGACATGTGCTGCCTCCGGGGCTCTGGAGACCACCTGGAGAAGATTGAAGGCACGCGTTGACAATGATGGTGAACAAGTTATTATGAAGTGGAGACTGAATTCTTGAAGCTATTAACATTCATTTGTTATCAAGTTACAATAGTCCCATGTAACTGTTAATACACCTTGTGTGTGTCTGTTGACGGATTTGTACAATAGTCACAATGTTTTAGTAACTTAATTGTATTAGAATTCTTGACTGAAAGCTTTCGATCTTCAGGAAGACGGCTTGTGTTTCGATCGAAACGTCATAGTTTTTTGTTATATTCTTTGAACCTATCTACGTGACTTTACCGAAAGACCCAAGAATATTTATTGTAATTGTAATATGATCCGTCAAAACATAATCTGGCCAAGCCGACTCATACTGCAGGGACTTTAACACAGATTCATGTGCCACGGTTTAATTTGCTCCGCTTTCTATATGCTCCATTTCACACGCTTTTATTTAACTCACTCTGTCTGTTGTTGTCGTCGTTGACGTATCCTCAAATCTTGTAACTCAATTTTAACCCACTTCCCAATTTTGTATCGACTGCAAACTTGGTATACTTATGTCATACTGATGACAATACTATATTCTATATATATAAAAAAACATATTTTTAAACATTCATTTTTGTATGTTATGTTTCGGCTTGGCTCTAATTGTCCACGCTCAACTGACGTTGGCTGTAAATCACCACGGTCCCCTTACGTTATGGCAAGCCGCAGGGCCACTTCCTGGAGTCGTGGAGTTCTGCCATTACTCGTACGGTACATTTAATTAAAGCGTGTTTAAAAAAAGTCTTTTTTAATATTACTTATCTATACTTTGTTTGCTTTTGTTGTCTTGATGACACAGGTCACTCGTGAAAATGAGATTCAACCTGGTCTCTTGAGTTTTCATCTGGTTAAACTAAATAAACTTGAAACAGCGCTTCAGGGATGAGGGATTTCCACCACTGCCTTGGGGCCACCGAAAGCACGAGGTGTCGACAAGTAATAAAAATACAATCGCAATCTGCACGCTGGCTTTTTGACAAAATCGGGTTTTTAATCAGCCAGTATCTCCCCCTGATGAGCAATAAGTCATTGCTCATCACCATTTGTGGCCCTGAGACAGTGGAGGATATTCCACATTTCCATCGCAGGGGACGAGTTACTGGATAGCACAACCACTGATGATCAGGATTATAAGCCCAGATTGGAAGATGAACTCACAACTCTATGATTGCGAGAAGCATGCGATACAAATACCTCTCAACCCAAACGGTTTACCCTGTATTCTTGTACAGGGACATTAGAGTTTACAGGTCCATACAGCGTACAGCCGTTTCATTACGGGCTTTGTAGGATGAATGTTGAAATGTATAAGGGGCACGGGGTGATCAATCAGGTCTGAATTGGTCTGTAATAAGGTAGGCGCTGACAAGGGGTGACAGGTTTTGTGATACAAACGAGTTCCCTTGAGAACCTGGATTAAACTTGGGTGCCTAACACCAGTAAGCATGATAATGGTTCTGTATATCACGAGACAACTCAGCTAGCCCTGTTGATCATTTAGGTTCATATATGAAGCAGCTGCTCAAAATTAAGCTAGAAGCTCAATTAGTCAATGGTATGGTCTCAGTCAAGTGAACTGATAATTGAAGACAAAGTAGCATTTTACAACTTATTTAACTTTGCCCGATCAAGGTTTATAAAGCAGAGACGCATAAAGTGACCCATTCACTCATCCGCAGAGCTTAAGGGTTCTGTAAAAAGACAGTGGCTCCAGTTACACAGTTTATAGGCCCTTTTCTGTGCATAGTGCTTACAAAGAATGAGATGCTCACGGTAAAAATGAATCAACAGGAAGGAAGTGGCCATGGTAAACACTCACGTACCTTATGGTCGTCTTTGAGTTGTGCGGCTGCAGCAGTGAAGTGTGGCTTGGCCTGTTTGCAGTGGAAGCACCCTGAAAACAGAGTCCAGTGGTAATTCAAGGCCTGGATCCAGAATGACATCTCGAAGATTCTTAAAAGCATCATTGATAAACGACCACAGCACAGCCAGTTTCAAGAATGACCCAACTATACGTGTGTTTCTCAAAAAGTAAAACGAAGGCAGGATTTTGATGCTTCAAGTTCAATATATAAAGCTAAGAGTGAGAGGAAGGCACTATTTGGATTGTTACTATTCAATGTTATTACAAATATGCATGAATTGAAGCCGCTGCATAGCAATAGGAAGAGGCTGGAATATATACAACGTACATAAACCACCGATGCAGAGACAGACCCTCGGCATGAGAAAATGGAATCTGCATCATTGATTCAGGGCCAAACATCGGCGTTCGATGTCACCAAATTTTCTGAACTTGAGCAAAGAAGACATTTGGCTGTGGGGCTACGATTCGGTACGCGGTGTGACGGCCGCGTAGCGCAGCGTCGCGGCAACGACAGCGCTGCTTGGCGACGGCAGCGCCGGCTACCCGGCGTCCCCGCCAGACGGAGGAGCGACTCACAGGGGGCGTAGAACATGAGCAGGGCGTGACGCTTCTTCTTGAGGAAGTCGCGGAAGTTGGCCACCGACAGGTGAGCCACGTCGTTCTCCTGCTCGTCCCACGGCACCTCTGGAGGCGGTGGCGGCTGGGGGCTGCCGGCGGGCACGGAAACAAACCGCCACAGCTCGTTACAAGGCGAGACGCACCGGGCCCGAAGTGATACGTCTTTAAATGGTGTGCAGGTGTTGTCTCGCATAGACGAAATTAAACAAAGGGCCTAACTTGATAATGGTGATTATAAAGTGCTACTCCAAAACAAGTGATGTTATCTCCTGACCTCAGCTATGTAGCGTTTAAAAATTAAATGTTTATCTAAGAGAAAAAGTGTTTGTGTCAATTTAAAACGGTGAGGGTCAATGTTGTGCGGTATCTAACTAGAAGTCAGTAAACCTGGCTGCCCTCTCTCTCTGCTGCTGTGAAGAAAAGTATTGACTAAAACATTAACCAACTGTGTTTGTTTTAATTAAAAGGCAGCGTGAGCAATAGAGGCAAGGATTTATGTGTATATGCGTGTATATACCGCTATCCATACATCTTAATATTTTATTGATTTGGGTTAATTTACACGAACAAATGCCTTAATCTGCCCATGCGACACTGTGGTGAGAGCCCATGACTCACCGTGGAAAAGTCGTGGGTTCAAATTTTATTTAGTAAAAATTTCCTCTGGGGTTGATATAGATAATATAGAAACACGCAGTAGCGTATATTGTCTAATAAATCATGTAATTTCTTGTGAAGAGACTCCCCTCGACCGTAGTAATGAGGACCCAGGGCCACTAACACAGACAAGCGTTGCACGACACTCGTTTGTGTAGTGGAACACTTTTGACTTTTCACCTATTTTAAGCATGTTTTGATAAGTTATTGTCAAACGCACACACGACGCATACATGGCAGGTGCCTGTCAGTACGTATGCATGTATGGTGAACTTCTGTCGCACCATACGTAGCCAACCGTCCCAATCGGAGGTGCGGGGAAGGACAACAAACTAAACATAAAAAGCAGTTCTAAACAAATTAGTTTTCAATCTCGATTTAAAAGTGCATAGCTCCAGTGGTGACTGCCTTTGTTCGACGGCGAGGCAAAAGCCGCTGCGAGGATGACCGGAGATCGCATGATGGTTTATGCTTCTTGACAAGATCGGCAAGATTTCGATGTAAAGCTTTCGCGACTGCAGGGATTCATCTTATTGGTTCTTTCGGTAAAGTCACGTAGAAGGGAAATAATAAAATAATAAAAATATAACATAATAAAATAATTCTCACGACGTTTCGGCCACAACGCAAACAGGTCTGTCGAGAAGACAGCGTCTGAATGACACACCCCAGGCTTGGAGCGTCTATTTAAGCTGGGATGGAGGGGAAAGGGCGCCTTGACAAAATAATTTGCATATGAAGAATTTTAGCATATTTATGGGAAATGCAGATATGCGATTCGTACTACTTGTGAAAAATGCGTAGGAGGTTTGGCGGGGGGTTTAAAGTCATATTATGCCCGTGCATTATGCAGGATTAGCAGCATCAAAGGGAGGGGATAGGGGGAAGCATTAACAAAGGGAAGATCAGCGAGGTACTGTGATTCATCGGTGGCATACACACTCGCGAATCCAAGAGAGGATCTTGTCCTTGGATCGCAGGTCAGACACGGTGTATTTCTCCTCCCCGTCCTGGAAGAACTTCGTCGTGGGAAAGCCCTTGATGGAGAAGCGCTCGGCAAGGGCTCTGTGTATGGTGGCATCAACAGCTGCCAAGACCCCAGGGCTCTGTGACAAACAAGGCATAGATCCACCGTATAGCCTTAACAGACTGTTGGGGCTAGTGCTGTTAGCGAGCACCTATGAAGGCCGGTATGGCACACGAGGGGGTGGGTGGCTCGCACCGCGCCAGGTCGCCTTTGTCTCTCTAGTGGTGAATTTTACACATCGCACCAGGTACTGTACTTATTTGAGGCTGAGTCGACCTCGGGGAGGCCCAGGATCTGCTTAAATAACCGTCACCGGTGTTGGGTATAAGCGGTACACGAACTCGGGTCACCGGGTTCATAGCGCAGCCTACCACTCCCCACTTTGACAAGCAAGCAAAGACAACGACACACAATAAATACACGAATGCCCACTTCAGACTTACAAACTGTAGGGACAAGTTCTATTACTGAGTGCACCTATTCAGGTTGGCAGAGTAGCACTACACTGGACCACCAATGTCTCCCCAGTGCCGATGTATGTTGAACTTCTTTCGCACCATACGTAGTACATACACTGCCCCAGTTACCGACCAGGACAGGTTTAAAAACACCTGATCATGTGCAACGGATGATGTTCATCCCAGCTGGGAATCAAACACAAGTTGCTGGAATTATACCATAATGGTCTAACCATGGCACTACGTGAACACCCACAGCTATATGCATGTGAAATTGTCTGCAGTGCTTACATACGTATCGTATGGTCATCGAAACACGTGAGCTGCATAATGAAGAGCTTTTTTTCTGACACCCATGCAATTTAAGTAACTGCTTGAAGCTTGTGAATGGCACAGTGAGGTTTGCGGCTTCCGATCCACTAGAGGGCACTGTAAAGAAGCTTTACTGCTATTTGCCTTTAGCTCTGCGGCCTCAAGAAAAGTCATCCAGTAGCTATAGATGCACGCTATGGTTCGCATTAAACTCAATGGTGTCAAGTGAAGGTCAAGAGGCCAACTGTGTGTCTGTTAAAACCTGTCCATTTGTAAACTTTCTTAAAATCTTCGCAGTTTTCTTTGGGCCCCAGTGTACAGTATCATTTTCAGCTCCAAGTCGATCTCTCTCTCATCTCTCTCAATCTGCTCTGCAGAAGGTCCTTTGACTGCTGCGATAGCCTATTACGTATGTTTCTGTTGCAAGGCGTGACGATTACGGCTATCGATGGTCATGCACCGCTCTCAATGCAGTGCCTCAACATTTGTGCAAATCCTACACAAAGCAGCGCATCAAGTGACACTTCCATGGGGCTCTACATTCAAACAGAAGCAGCCGCGCATTCATTAATTCGCCATTCACTCGCGTCATTCTTTAATCTTATTTTTTAACTTTCTTGTTTAGCACAGAAGAGACACTGCATTGCAGAATTAACATTCTCACGTTTTCCTCTTCGTTGAGAATCTTCGCAGCCTCGTCGTAGTCTGGTTTCAGCTTTTTGCAGTGCCCGCACCCTGCGTTGCACATCGTCCAGTTAGGATTAGACGGCCGGCAGCATTAAGAATAAACAAAAAAACGAATGCACAAAAACAACCGTCACATTTAATTTGTTTTGCCCATTAATTTGGCATCGTCCAGCTCTGAGGATTACCAATTTTGGTCAGGCTGCCATTCAGCGAACACTCATTGCAGGTGTGCTGCTTCATGTCGATAAGAGGATTATTGAAGACATTCAACAGAAGTTCTGTGACGTCATCTTCCATGAAATACCCTCAGGCGCATTGTGATGTTACACGGTTGGCTGTGACATTTGCCAACGGGAAATTGTTTCATAACCCCAAGTGGATAATGGGACAAAAAACAAACAAACATCAAATTGGCCTGATAAGCTAAATTATGTTTTACTTCACGCGCGCGCGCTTTGACGGAAGAGTGCATCTCTATTGGTCCGTCTTGCTTCTCATTATCGTTTGCACTTTAAGGCAGTAAGTAGTGGGTGTTTGAATAACCAAACAGTGTAGGCGGATTTTGTTTGTATAGAATGGGGTCACATCCTCTATACAAGAAAATTCACCGTTGATTCCCTACCAAAGTGGAACTCGTTTTATCAACCCAGGAGGGTTGACTCCGGACCAGGATTTGAACTCGCTGTCCTTCCCCATTGTACGTCAAGCACTCAAAGCACGGTGACATCACTTTAAAGTCACCATCGAATAATGCATCAGCGTGACTGGTCAGCACAGTTAGTGCGACACGGAGTAAAACCAAAATGATTGCGTGTTGTGATTGCTACGTGTGACTTACAGGGGGCGTAGAACATCACCAAAACATTGGGGTGCTTGTCCACAAAATCCTGGAAGTCTTCGTCCGTCAGATGAAACACAGCAGAGTCTGTCTCACTCCATGCCACCTCGGGAACAGTGGGCTTGGGCGATTCAGGGCTGTAGGGGGGTGTAAACGTGCACAAGCGCGTGTACACGCAGACGCACAAAGATCCTCCGATTAGTCTTGCACTCTCTACAGTGCACGTACAATCGCTTGCCTTGGTCTCCCCATTGCTGCCACACACGTGCGCACACGCGCAAAAATGCTGCAGGTTTTCCAAGCAACTAGATTTGGCATCAAAGACTAACCTTTTATAGTTCAAACACATTCCGCAGCGTTGCTGTAGTCAAATTCGACTGGAAATGGCTTTTATTTATAACGATGAAATGGTATAAATATGCTACAGCAGTCAAAATAAGTAAAATTTTTTGCAACTCCAAACACAAATATGAACCACATAAAGCGCATGAGGCACTATATATTGAACTTACTTTTTTAGCCATTCAATAATATCTTTGGCCTGAGCTCCGTAACTTTGGTAGTTGAATCGGAATTTTCCTTTCCTGGAAGAAACAAGAGCAAATGGCAAAACAAAAAACTTTAGAAATGAGTACCGCATAAAAGTTTTGCCTGCATTGCAAAATAAAAACAAGCACGAGATCGGCACTCGACGTAGAGACGTCCGTGCACAAAAAACAGGGACAGCAAACGCGTTCTAAACGGTTGCATTTTTGCACGCACGATCAAATGTAAATATCTCCGTAATTTATATAGACATACATACATATACAGTACCTACACACCCTTGTGCATGCCCTATTATATGCAGTGAAAAAAAAGTCTAATTGTCTCTGCTTAAATTCTGATTAGCACGGGGTGCAGTGGCCGTCAGTGGTAGACAATTCCACATTCCTATGGCAGGAGCCACCATTAAGGAGTTCTCCATGAAGCAGGAATTACTTAATCAACCATGAAGGCATAACGGGCTGCTGAATCGATACTCAACTGAAATTTTAACTCACATTATGCATCGAGTGCTCTGACAGTGAGGCTATATTTGCAACAACAAAAAATAAGTCAACAATAAAACAATGCAAGACTTTGAAGGTTAATGCACCCTTCAAATGGGAATGTGAGATGCCATCTCATCTGCGCTTTATTTCTAGAAACACTGTCATAGTTGCAGGCCTCAAAGATCGCCGGACACGCATTGCGGTCACTGAAATCGCCCTCCCATCAAGCAGGTGCCCAGTACCCGAAGCACAACTCAGTCAAATGGCATGGTTGCAATTCAGTTTGGTCACGACTTCAGTGCCAAATCTGGGGTGGCACTGCACTGAACAATTAGTCAGACCTCAGTGGCTCAGGGAGCTCATAATGGCTGTAACAGATCAATGAGCTGGCACCACTGGGATCCATCCAGGGTTCAATCCTGCATTTCAACCATCCTAAAAATACAATGCAATTTGGATTCATATAGCATCTAAAATATGACCGCATCTTAAAACACTATACAGTACCGGTGGGCACATTTATTTTACAGAGAGGGCCATTTCAGCCAGACAGAGAGGAAAAATGGAAGGTCTTGGGCCTGCACCTAATCTAATTTTATATTTATAGAGCGCCCCTTCACTCAAGGTACTTATAACACAGTTTCAAAAATTGTGGCAGAATGGAACGATTTATATGGCAGGAAGTTAGGGGCACGAATGACTGGGCTGAAGGGAGTTCAAGAGTATGGGGTGAGCACGAGTGATCGGAAATGCACGGGTAATGAACAAATAAAGTGTTGTTGTATTCTTGGCTTTCAAATACAGCAAGTTTGATGGTCTCAGCCCATTGGCAAGATTACAGGAAAAAAAAACCCGAAATGTAAAACAATTTCTTCAAACATTGATAAAAAAATAAATGTATATTAACTGGAATGATATTTCCAATTTGGTGGTGCTGTGGCTAGAAAAAAAACGAGGCTCAAAGTCTTTTTGTGGAGTATTCAAATCCCACTTGGGGGTTCACTAATCCTTCCATGGTCGATATAAAACAGTACCACTTTGCGGGAAGCCAATAGTTGCACACAGAGATGTGGAATTTATACCAATGGCTCTGGACCACCAAGGGACGTGTACACAAGCCCAATGCCTGACACAGCAAGGAGGCCATCGTCTTAGTTGGTGGCCCCGCCGAGCCAGAGGTTTGCAAATCCACATTTCTATGGTGGTGGCCAGTCTCTCCATAGAACAAGATCTAAACCTATTTCTAATAGGGCAGTTCTCATATGATTGACATTGCATGGTGCTTGTCTTGAATTGCCAATGTTTGGATGTGTTAGAGATACGAACAAAAAGGAATACCTAAAGGGACGCAGTTGATTGTGTGGTAATGTTTACCAACATTTCTTCATTTTATTATTTTTTTCTATCTATGTGACTTTACCGAAAGACCCAGGAGAGCATGTAAATATGGTGTTAAAAACTGAAAGTTAGTCCAGAGTTATGGCAGTATTTCAGTGCTGCAAATATAACTGTTGCATTACCTGCCCTCAATAAGTCAAATACCACCACCTCGAATGAGCAGTTTGCTACGTACGGCGTGAAAATAAGTTCGACATACGTACCTACAGTTCTCAATGTGGATGAGACCTCACCGATTCAACAATTACAGTCCCTTCAGTAATGAGGGGGGCTGCCGTCATTGTGTTAGCTACCTTTGTCACGATTAACAAGTCTCATCCACCTCACCCATTCTGTTTTGACACCTGGCCCATGCTTGAGTAACTACTTGTCACCTTGATTTCAAATTTTCTCGGATTTTCAACCTACGCAATGAAAACACTGCTTCCGACGACTTCAATTCTCCGGGTATAGAGTAAAAATAATAATTACACAGCGAGGAACTATCTTCATTTTTCGAAGCGTTCATACACACTCCTTGGTTTTATTCGGTAAAGTCAGGTAGGTAAAAATAAAATAAAAATGAAATAAAAATGAAAAAACAACTAAATTAATTTAGTAGTTTTTTCATTTTTATTTAATTTTATTTACTTTACCGAATAAAACCAAGGAGTATGGATTATTGCAGTCACGAAAACTTCAAATCAAATCATACAAATTTGTCAAGGGTCTTTAGACAATGGTCTAACAGATGTAGCATCTTACCAGTAACATTTAATAAAAAAAATATGTACAGGATATAAATAAACAAAAAAACCCACGTGGCTTGGCAAGCACATTGCAAATCAGCCTCACAGAACGCTCAGCCTCTGACTCTTTTAAACGCGTTCAAGCAGTTGGTCAACTTGAACGCTCGACAATAAAACTGACATATGCGGTGCTTTAACAACCTAATAAAACAACGCTTATAAAAGGGTAGAACTGCACACAAGCGTTTAAAACGGTTGTCAAATGCCATGTCTTTAACAGTTATGTTCGTGAGTAAAAAACACTTTATACACAACTCGAAAACTGTTAAGCACAAGCTACACACGTGAGTAAGTGAACATTCTAGTCGTGTGGAAAGGGCGCGAGGAACTCTTCGGGCAGGCTGGGGTAAGCAACTTGTGGACGTTTGAAAACTAATGCAGGAGGAAAGCGTTACAGACGTATCCCAGAACAGGACGCATTGATAGGTGGGGCGTGAGCAGGATGGGAAAGAGAGAACATTACCAAACCAAACAACGTGCAGACACCCAAAGGTTGGAAACCAAGGGGAAGGTGGACAGGCAGATGATGCGATGCTCTAGTAGCAGACCTGAGAGGGTGGCGGCTACTGACTGCACAGCAGTTGTACGATCAGCCGGCGGGAAAGAAGCGATGGGTAGCTGTGATGGCATCAACAACATTGGCCATCGTTACCTCTCATCATCATCAGCAGCAGCCATCATCGATCTGCCGCTGGATGAATCCCTCCCCAAGGCCGTCACCTCGCAGCGATCCATCCGGCACGTAAACTGATCTCAGCGACCCGACTCTGTGGTGGATTTCCTCTCAGATGCGTTCAATACCTTGGCTGCCATTACTCTTACACATCATCCATTCAAGGGGTGTGCGCCCTGCCCAAGCCCTCTTAACTTTTCGTAAAAGTTTGGATGTTATTCACCTGCATATGTTATCGAATCCACATTCCTCTTTCAGTCCCTCAAGTAATTCCAAACGTGCATCTCTCCATGCTCTAAACTTGTACGAAAGTCTGTGCCTTTCCTGTATAGCGATGCTCTTTGATGTCTCTGCGCGCGTATATGTGTGTGTGTGTGCGAGGAACATGCACAGATGCCTATGATGCGTACGTACTCGAAGTAGCAGAAGGTGGGGTAACCAGTCACGTTGAAGTCTGATTTAATCCCATCGAACTCAGCCGGATGTACATTCATTCCAGCCAGAACCTGCAATGCACATCACAGCATTATCACATGCCAGAGTTTAGTCTTTCCCAGTACCATCAATTAAGCTGGGTTATTCCTGCAGGAATCATGTCTGGAAGCTCACGTATGTCTTTTTAGCCATGGTGGCTGCCTCCTGGAACACCGGCTTCATCCTCTTGCAGACGCCACACCCTGTGTCGCACAGGATAGACACATTCGCAGGATAGACACATGCAACGCGGTCCATGATAGGTGTTTGCCGACAGCCATGAATGATGACGGCCTTGCCCACAAATATTTTAATGACTTGAAATGATAACAGGGTACATGCTTCCCCCGTTCAATTAACTCTCTCCAAAGTCTTAAGCTTTTATAGGTAATTGTACATGATGTAAATAAATACACCATTATTTACAGTTAATTCTTGATGAAGGCAAGAGGACTTGCATCACTAAAGTTAAGCATGTAATGAATGTACACAATAGGCGGCACCTGATAGAACTGCACGTCGCCTGTCAGATGACCGGTCTGTCAATCTGGGAGCTAGAAGTAAAACTCTTCAATAATAAATTGTACATTTGACAATATCTTCAATAACATAGCGTTCTAAATGCGACACAAACACACGACCCTCCCCTACCCGATATGCCGTATAGACTACGGAGGCAAGCACTGTTTGCAAGCTCCCATTAAGGTCAATGCAATACACAGGGAGTGATGGGGCAAGTGCTCTGCGAAACCGGCGGCATTAATCTCCCCAGTGCTGATGTTGACATACTACACAATGTAGCAATTTAATTTCACAGTCGTTGCCTGTTGGAGGGTACTAGACCCTGCCATAGGAATATAGAATTGCCACCACTGGCTTGCAGTTATTAACGTAGGCTGGTACTGTCCTCTGTACAATCGAATGTAATAACTTGACTTCTGTTTTCAGCTGAGTCAATGTCTTAGTGACTCCGTTCAAGTTTGGTTACAGCTGCCATTGCTGTACATGGCCTGGAAATAAGCCAGGCTTGCTGGGATCATAGTGCAGAGCACTAATCGTGTTACCGCAGCTCTGCTTTACACACCGATATACAAAGGGGCAGTGGACACGGCCACGCGGTAGGGCATTCGCCAGTTTGTTGCAGAGGCTCATGGTTCGAATCTAACGGCCGCCCTGGTTATTACTGTGGCGTGTAATAAACATGAATAATATGACGCACTGTTTGCTTCATTCACATTGGATGTTAAAGATCTCTGACGTTACTCACAAGAGAAAACATCTCAAGAAAAAGTAGATTGGAAGAACCTGGAGTAAATCCACACACTCTAGACCTAGTTCCCAGTGCCTTCCACATGTTCTACAGTTAAAGAAACACTTGCCGAGAAAACAACTTCATAGTGGCAATGCAGTGATATATCCTTCAAACGAGTGGTTTGAGGAGCAAGATAAAGAGTTTCTTCCAGGCAGGAATTAAAGCCTCGGAACATCGAAGGCCCAAATGCATTGCGCCTCAAGAGAACTATCCAAAAAAAAATAACACGGCTTCACAAAAGTCGGTGCTCGCTTTCCATCAGGCCAGACTTCTAAATCACCCCTCGTGGACGCAGACACACACGCGCGCGTGCCCGCGGACACCGGCAACAATAAGACGCGTCTCCTTAAAGTGGTAAGGAGATCCTAAGTAAGCAAGCGAAGGAATTGGACCTCTTGCGCGACGGCCCGCACAGCCAGCGCCGTCAGCGTCCGCTTCCTCGCTGACCTTCAACATCTGCTCGGCGGCCGAGTCAGCGGAATTTCAGGCCGAGTGCGGCAGAGTGCCGCCCCCCCCCCCTCCGACCTCCCCACGAGTGTTGGCCCCGGTGTTACCAATACGCCGGGACTGCCCCTCCGGGCGTTAACGGCCAACGCTGGGCGCGAGGGGCGCCTGGCCTGAGTGACTTCCCCTCTCCGTGTTATTCTAAGCCGCCACGGTGGCGACGTGCAGCAGCAGCAGCGTGCTCGTGTGTGGACGCAGCGGTGAGTGGGGGGGGGGAGCGCCGGCGTAGCGGTTAGCGCAACGTGACCCCAAGGTCCACGTGGCTTTAAAAACGAGCAACTGGTGCAGTGTCTTAAACGTCAGCGCGGGGGGAGACAAATCCGGCCAGGCGTGTCGATGGTCACAACATCCCCTCGTGTGGGGTGCCAGCCTTTAAGTGAAAAAAAATAGAAAAAAAATAATAAATGAAAATAAATCAATTAAATGACGACGTTTTGGAGGCAATACAAGCCTCCGTCTTCAGGTGGGACCGTCACAGCTAAATTTAATTGATACAGTAAATTTAGCTGTGACGGTCCCACCTGAAGACAGAGACTTGTGTTGCTTCCAAAACGTCTTGATTTAATTGATTTATTGTCATTTATTATTATTATTTTATTTCTATTTTTTTTTTACCTACGTGACTTCACCGAAAAAACCTGAGAGTATGAATCCTTGCAGTCACGAAAGCTTCAAATCTAGAATTAGCCTTTAAGTGCTTGGTGCCAATATCTGTTAAAGGCTACATGGGGGATCTTTGTCTGTGTAGTGGTGAGTCGGGGCAAAATGCTCAGTGCTCTATGCTTTGGTTCCAGTCAAATGCGTCCAATGTAACTTAAGACGTAGGTCTTTGCCAATAAAATTAACCATATTTGCTTTTTGGGTTAAACCACATGGTCGTTACTACTCCCACGTGCGGGAGTGGAGCGGCCGTCAACATGCCTGGTTCCCTTTGTCTCCCCGAATGGCAATGTTTAGACGCCGCACCAGCTTGGCCATATGGGTTCCATTTGTGTCCACGCACCTTCGTGGCAAAGTGGTAAATTAGGGGTCCCCTAAACTGGGCACCCAGCGAGAGACTGAGTCCCCTGGGACTGACCGGCGCTGCCCCTGAAATTCGTTGGGCCCTTTCTGCTTCGTCCCCCTGAACTTGGCCTCATTGTCAAGCCTGGTCAGTGCTCCTACTCTCGATTCTCTACCCCCTCCACATGTGCCTGCTCTATCTACTTCCCCTAACGCAAAGCATCTCGAGGTGCAATCGAGTTTAGCCGCTGTGGAACTTTTAAATTGTTGCGGTTGTTATTCTTGGTGTGTCTTCGATCAAATTGTGGCCGGACGCAGCACGCGAACATCGGTACTAGGAAGACAATGGAGGCTGGCCGTAGTCCTGGCCACACCACACGATGTGTACGACGCGCTAGTCGTAACGGCCAAGTCTAAGGGTTGGTCTGGTTCAATGAGCTTCGGGATTCCAGAGGCAGTGGTGTAAATTTGAGGAGTAGACCACCGATTGAGATTTGAACTCGCAACCGTCCGGCTGCAAGTCAAGCGCATAAAGCGCAGAACAACTATGTCTCGGCGCAGGCTACCCACACACCTACTGATGCTCCTGCTGTTGTGGAGTGACTCATGCAGCCAGCTATGGCTACAGGGTTTGGTGGTACATGTTGTTTGTCGCTTATTGTGAAATGTCGGTCACAGTTCCTATGATCACTGTTACATTGCTTATGGATTATTTTGGTGATTTCGAAAAGTTTTTTGGTTTGTCCATGTTTGTTTGTTGTAGTACGGCGTTAGAATGATGGCTTTAATCTAAGTTGTCTTGTGGTTGTTGTTGGTGTTTGACTTGCATTCCACTGGGATTTTTGCACAGCGTTGGTGTACGGTGCTTTTTTTTTTATGGAAGACTTTGCAGTTTTTCCTGGATTTTTCTGTTTGCGCATAGTCACTTTAAGATGTTTTCTTCTTCATGTTTTTGTTTGTTGCGGTTGCACCCGATTCAAGAGCCGAATGGCTCACAGGGCTATACCAAATAATGAAACTGAAATGAAACTGAACACCCTCAGGATATCAGCTGATCTATTACGCGATTAGGCAAAAACGACGGACAAATAATTTGTCTGTCCAGTAGCAAAGATGGGAGGGCATTGAGAGAGCAATTTTTTGTTATCTTACAAATGGCAATTATTACCAGCCATCGGAGCACATGACAGAATGATACATATTCCCTGCACCATCGCATGGAAAGTGCACAACTCCCAAGTTTCAAAATGTCTTATCTTACACAAAACATGCATGCCCTGCACAGCTTCAAACAGAACTTTTTTTTTTTACTTCAGGCCATAATCTCAAAAACATCGTTATCTATGAAATGCCAGGCTGTGAGCTGCGCTTTGCGATTATAGCTGGGACTCACAGGGCGCGTAAAACATCATGAGGATGGGTCTTTCTTCTTTCTTGAGCAGCAATCGGAACTCCTGCATGACATAATGGCACGGTTGGGAGAAGAAACATCAGAGTCAATCGAAAGCCATGAGAGTAACGGGGTGAAATCACACACAGCCGATGTATGAATGTATTTTGGAACTTCTTTTGCACCGTGCGTAGCCAACCGTGCTAATCGGAGGTTCTGTGGAAGGACAAACTAATCACAAAAAGCAGGTTCTGAAGAAATCAGTTTTCAATCGAGCTTTAAAAGTGCATAGCTCCAGTGGTTTCCTAATATCGCAAGAGCATTCCAGACGGCCGCAGAAGCGCATCTGAAAGCGCGCAATGCGGTGACCATCTTTGTTCAACGGCCAGCCAAAATTCGGTGCTGCGAGGATGACCGGAGCGCGTGTGTTGCTTTCTGCTGCTTGAAGAGATTAGCAAAGGTATTGTGGTTCATTTGTTGCAAGCACTTCTGTGTGTAATGAGTAAATCGGCGAGGATGTGCAATCGCCGTGCATGTACGCGAGTATCTGTGTCCGTGCAGGAGCTGTTTCACGGTTAAATTTCGATTTCAAACTTTCGTGACTGCAGGGATTCATCTTCTTGGTTCTTTCGGTAAAGTCACGTAGAAGGGAAACAATAAAATAATCAAAATAAAACATAATAAAATACAATTCTCACGACGTTTCGGCCACAACGCAAGCAGCCGTCCTCAGGTGAAGAACAGGGCTGTCGGAACGATAGCGTCTGAATCAGACGCTGTCAGTCGACCTTACCTGGTAAAGACATTATTTCCATTCTACGTGACTTTACCGAAAGAACCAAGAAGATGAATCGCTGCAGTCACGAAAGCTTTAAATCGAAATTTAACCAAGAAGATGTTTCACGGTAGCGAGCGTACCGCTTAGCGCAGTAAACTTGCAAAGTGACCCAAGCTCAATTCCTAACCATGTATGAATTTTGGGATGAGATTTACAAATGGAGTAGGATTTATTCAAAATGTATAGGTTATATTCTTTTACATGTACCATTGCCTATGTCTAATTAATTATCAACCACGGCTGCGAGATGTTAACTCCCTCGCCTGGTATGCAGGAGGTCGTGGGTTTGATCTCGACCCTCACACCTCCTGTATATTTCGAGTTTGCGTGTCTCTCTCCGTGTGCTCACGTGGATTTTTCTCCCGGCCCTCCGGTTTTTCCCTCCACACTTAGAAACATGTGTTTAGAGTATTTGGTTTCTACGATATATTTTGCGATAAGCCACTTCGTTGAGCTATCATTTGTGGCCAGGTCGCTTATGAAAAACAGCTACATAGCTCAGTGGGCCTTACCTGGTAAATTATAAAATTGTATTAAATAGTTTAGTATAATGTGACAGATTTATACTGGATGAAAATAGATTTGTCAAGAGAGAGCAAATGATACATAGATGGAATGTAGTTCGATTAATTCATATTTAATGCATAACCATCTTAACATTGCAATTACTATTTTTTTTACTTGTGATTGACTTTTAATTTTCTTCATATAAATCACCGCATTAGGACACTCTCAAGCAAAAACTTTTTTTCAAACAAAGCGGAGTAGATGTTTTATTTTAATTTAGCCTGACATACTGTATATCGAAATAAATGTACCAACAGTCTGACATTCAGACTCTAATTGCTATGAGCTGAACATTCGAGTGAATAGGCCAGAACAGATTCCTATAAAGGGCTGCAGAACGAAACGCCTCAGGGTAGATTTGTCCATTAATCTCAGAGTAATTGAAATTCCCCATTAGACTGTTAAAGTCAACTTCAACCAACTTCTCTCATCACATGTGCAGGAGAAGTTTGTTACACTAAAAGTGGACTCACTTCCCAAAACATAGCGCACACACACACACACAAATCCCCTGACTTAGCCATATAAACTGTTGGGAGGCAAGTGCTGTTACTGAGCCCCTAATAAGGTCAGGCACAACACATGAGTGAATAGTGGCCAGCACCATGCCCAGTTGCGTTTTTCTCGCTGGACATTGTGAATGTTTGGGAATCTAACTCCCCATTGCCGGGATCACAATGCAATGCAAACTACGTCACTCAACTAGTACTCCCAAAATCACGAACACACTCCAACATCAACAGCTGACATCTGCCTCGAACTGGCAGTGACATCACCGTGATGCTTGCGCCAAGCTAGGTGCACACATTCACTAAGCCAAATAATACGTGATATGGGATTATCAAATTGGCATGTTTATGTCACCCGTTTAAAGTTGTTAACGTACAGTAAAGCCCGTGTGGGTCGTGAGAGCGATTCGACCGTACGTCACCACGTCGGCCTTGTGTGGGTTGGTGAATTGGGGAGCGTTAGGTGGTGGAGCATAGCAGCGTACAACATTGTAGTTGCTGCACCGCCCACTGCTTTCGCCGCAGCCCTGCAGCATCCTACAACACCTGTATTATGCACGGTGGCGGTCGCCCATCCAAGCACTACCCAGGCTCAAGAACCTGCTTAGCTTCTGAGGTCTCATGAGATCGGGCCACATTCCGGGTGATTGGCTCAAAGGTGCAGCCAAAGATGTCTTGGAGAAAAGTCTGGCTGCAGAATGTAAAAGCCACCAACCTATCAGTTGTAAAAAATGTAAACACATGGTATTTACATTCTGTAGAACAGATAGATGCAATAAGCAATCAGCGGATTAACATTCCTACTACTTCGTTTTCATGTAACAAATCACATACTACTCTTTGGTTCTTTCGGTAAAGTCACGTATTTAATTTTTCTACCTACCAAAGAGTATGGATTCCTGCAGTCACGAAAGCTTCCAATCAAGATTAAATCACATAATAGATAACATATTTGAATACAATAGAGTTTTTTTTTTAGGATTCCAGCTCGCAACTCCGAAGCACATGACTTGCCAAAACAGACTGCACCGAGCAATACTGACGTGTAGCCAGCATTATGGGACAATGATGCGAGATGACAAAGAACAAAATGTATTATTTCCAGCGGCTGAGAAAGGCGACTTACAGCTGGGGTGGGAGGGGGGGGAAGAGCGATAAGAGGGAGTGATGTAGAGGGCAGATGTAGGAGTGAGATGAATTGAAGCTTTTCAGGGCTGGAAGAAAGCCACTGTGATTTCGCAGAAGGCTGATGAATGCCAACAAATAAATACGACACAAATATGATACACTCAATACTTCTCACCCGCGCCCACAAATGAGACTGCATCACTCCCATCCTCATACTCTTCTTCTTGCTCGTAAATTATATCGGTTTTATTTGAACATTTTCCCTTTATAATTTTCAACGTTATGGTCTTAGTCTCACTGACCTCCCTTCGCTCATCCCACTTATCTCTACTCCCTGTGCCCTCCTCTCAAGTTGCCCAGGCCACCTCCTGATGACCCCAATAAAAGATTTGCTCGATCGGTGGTTACTCCGCACCTCCGATCACCACGGTTGGCTACATATGGTGCAAAATAATGTTAACATACGTAGTTGATTTGAAGCTTTCGTGACTGCAGGAATCCATACTTTTTGGTTCTTTCGGTAAAGTCATGTAGGTAGAAAAATAAAATGAAATAAGCATTTTTTTACTTTATTTTATTTTTCTACGTACGTAGGTGGAAAAATAAAATGAAGTAAGAAATAAATATTTATTTTATTTTATTTTTCCACCTACGTGACTTTACCGCAAGAACCAGAGAGTAAACATACGTAGTCTTCCTCCTCGCCTGTTGCTCTTCATGTCTTGACTACCTTGCCTCTCATGGTCTGTAAAGCCACATCTCTCCACCAGTCCAAGTCCTGGCTATGACTAAAAGCCCTCTCCATTCGAATGTCTTCTATGCTATTCATAATACAATGAAGCCCTTTCCTACTCTCCACCACATAACCCCCCCATTTCCCTCCCCTGTCATATCATTCAACCCTTTCCTACATGTGTCCCTCTCATTCCTATACGCATGTTGACACGTAGTAATTCAGATTGACGTAGCTGAACGCGAAGACTACATTCCTGGAAAACGCCAGTTTTGGGCAAAACCGCGTTCGACGAAAGCTCCTTATGGCGGTACCCCGGGGTACCAAATAATACAAAATGGCCGAGGTAATTAAATATTTTATTTCTGGGACACTATTTTTTTGCAGGGGTTTACTTAACTCCGCGACTGGGCTACCAATCAATCCGAAGTCGGTGCTACTCCGCGATGTCGAAACGCAGCGAGGACGATTGCGCTGAAACCCTGAACGCTCGCGGTACGCACCGTGGCGGTGCATCGTGTACAGCTCGTCGAGATGAGTCGATTGCCGCATCGCCGACCATCAACAGACTAAAAATGACTGCATCACGGACATTATTACCGCCATAAGGTTCAAATAATGGACCTAATGGGATAAATAGGGTTGCGTTCCTGGTCCAAAATGATCACCTTGTCCCTCTTTTCTTAACTAATTCTACTTGTACACTCTTTCAATTTCACCTCAATACAAAACCCCCATCTTCATGAATCTTCCCGTACCGTGGCACCCGAGCTCAACACTCGCCCCTAAGACTGGATTGCCAGCCCGACGCCCGCCCCTAACACCGTCACTGGAACGTTAACGATTTGCCATCTAGACGTCCGTATGACTGACGTCCTCAACGAGTGTACGGCTAGATGCATGCGACAATGTGTGCGATCAACTGCGTTGTGCGCGAGCAGGTTGAGTATGTGTTACGTTATCACACGCACGAAAATAAAAAAAACACATGCAAAATACTTACGTGGTAAATAAATCATTCTCAGTCGATTCATTAACACCATAGTACCTTCAAACAGATGCGGCACTCTCACCTCTCACAAGCCTATCTGACAAGAGCACAAGTGGACCGCGCACTAATTTTCGACGCGGAGATGAGAATTTTATCAGCTGATAATTGGTTCTTTACCCTTCTATCTGGCAACAAAACTGACACCTTTTTGCAAGGAGTCATGTTTGCATAGACCGCAATACCTGCAGTCATAAATACAAACAAAAGACATAACTCTGATAATGTGCACTGTCCTTGAAGTTGATTGGTCCACACCCGAGACAGCTTTCCTTCGAGCCTAGTCTCATATGGGTTGGACCAGATGACGCCAAAAGGCGCCTTTTGGCGTCATCTGGTCCAACCCATATGAGACTAGGCTCGAAGGAAAGCTGTCTCGGGTGTGGACCAATCAACTTCAAAGACAGTGCACATTATCAGAGTTATGTCTTTTGTTTGTATTTATGACTGCAGGTATTGCGGTCTATGCAAACATGACTCCTTGCAAAAAGGTGTCAGTTTTGTTGCCAGATAGAAGGGTAAAGAACCAATTATCATATTTTTACTGGCAAATGAGGTCCCCATAGTGTAAATTTTATCAGCGTCAAACCGCGTGTCGCCGAAAGATCGCCCTCCGTGTTCCGGAAAATAGACCTCATGAGGTAAACGGTGGTTTGTAGCCGAAGCACGAGTTCGATCAAAACCACGCTCAGCGAGGTTATCCTGTGTTCATATGCTCTGTATATCAAAAGAATAATTGTATTGTGCCGTTCGATTACATTTATACTTATGACAATATGGTTCAAAATGTCGAGGTCTGCTCGCCATGAAAGGGCTTCATGAGAGAGTTCGTGTAGTTTTGCTATTCCCCCATTGAAGGAGCACAGACTACAGTCGTTTACTACGTGGGCCCATAGTTTGGGCTGCGTGGCACTGCTCATGTTCTGATGAGGCTGATGGTTGCACCACCGGTGCCTTCGAGGAATGTCAGAGCCAGGCGGTGTGATGCTTGGTCCTCGAATGAGGCATTTATTCTGGATGTATATGCTTTGTAAGGGGTCGTAGAAAGGTCGTGGCGGGGTCGTGGCGGGGTCGTGGCGGAGACGGGGTGGCCTGGCACATGAGCCAAGCCGCGCGAGCCCCACCCCCCCTCCCCCCCCCCCCAAGTCCGATACCTTATCACTGTGCACGTGCACAACATCCTTGGCATCGGGCTCCTCCTCCCACAGCGGGTCTCCCGTGGGGTCGAACATGAACGCCACCAGCGACTGCGGCGAAGGGGAGACGGGGACGAGGTCAGGGACGAGTGCAAGCGGGCGGCGCGAGAGAGCAGCGGGCGATCGCGCAAAAGACGAAGGCGCACGAGCAGCGGTAAACACGAAGATCCAGGGTTAGACTTGTAAAATAATGGGACACCTTCTTGGTTCTTTCGGTAAAGTCACGTAGAAGGGAAATAATAAAATAATAAAAATAAAACATAATAAAATAATTATCACGACGTTTCGGCCACAACGCAAGCAGGCGTCCTCAGGTGAAGAACAGGGCTGTCTTTCCCTTCTACGTGACTTTACCGAAAGAACCAAGAAGATGAATCCCTGCAGTCACACAAAGCTTTAAATTGAAATTTAATTGGACACCTTTAACCGCTGGCATGGCATGCAATGTCAGGTGGTGTGACCAGCACCATGCCCGGTTGTCTTTCATTCCCCAGCACTGATATTTAAACAGCGCATAAGGTGCTGCTTTACGGCTGAGCCAGGTTTCGTAGCATAGCACGCAAACCGTTACACGACCGCTCTCCAAGTAGAGGACCATATACACAAAGTCACAGGCACAAACGTACGAAAGACTTTTCCCAGGCACAAGAAAAAAACACATGGGGATTTGCACATTGATACACAACCACACACAGATGCAGTTAGGCATATGCAGTCACATTTTGCTAAGCAGCACAGTGCTGCGTAAACAATTGGGCTGCAATAACCTGTGAGTGGGTGGTTCACTCCCCATGTCTGTACCAGTTAGTATCCTCAGGGCTGGGGCTTGACAAAATGAAGCACAACACCTTACAAGTAGTAATTTGTGTGACGGAGGTGAGAGCACGAAACCTGGGATTTTAATCCAGGATCTCAGCGGTGCTGACTAAATGACCTTTCACAGGAAAAGCATTAACTACCGGGACACCCGGCTATAAAACATCTCTTTACCAAGGCTGACCATCTTTTAGACAAACGGGCTAAAAATGCAATAAATAAAGAATAAGGACAAAGCGCTTATTCGTGTGCCTGACATTGATGGCATAATCATAGTACGGTTGGTGATACCCGTCAAAAACTGAAAGTCAAAAAGTTTCTTCCTGCTTGAACTATCGTTTTCGGTGGTAAACACCTCTGCCTCATCTCCTCTGGCCATCCTGCGCCCGCAGTAAAGATCAACATTTCCGTGGCAGGAGCCAAGTCTTCCCGGTAGGAGAAGTCACCCATAACCTCGCAAAAAAAACTCGTATCCAATGTATTGGCACGGAAGGAGCAGTCCGTTTAATTGACCCCCAAAGCAGAATATCAACTCACAACCTTGTAATTGCGAGTCAGACGCCCCAACGACTTTGTCAGCTGACTGGGATTGAGAGACATCAGTAATCTAAAAACTACTATGTTTGTGCGATAGCACACAATGCATTCTGCATGCATATGACAATGCTGTGATGGTTGCTTGTGTGGCGATCGAAACGTCGTGATCCATTAGTATTTTTCTACCTACGTGACTTTACCGAAAGAACCAAAGAGTATTGATTCCTGCAGTCACGAAAGCTTCAAATCAAGACTGTGACTGTTCACACACACAAAGGCAAAGATGAAGGAAAGTATGTTTGAAGGGAGGGCCAGACAGCAGATGAAATTCCACAGGGCACAGCCTGGCAGGAGACCTGAAACCAGGCAGAGAACTGCTGTCAATAAAAGTTTCTTGAGCAGTAATCTTCGTGCTTGTTATGTTTTCAAACATCTATTTTGCCAGTGTCGTGTTTTAGTACTCAAGGTCAAACTCTGCGAAGTTGTGCTGAAACAAAACATCGTTTCAGCATGTGGCGCATGACGCATTAGACATCTCAATGTGCAAAGATTGAATATCTTGAACTGCTATCCCACAGCTCCCCGTAATAATCTACAAAACAAACATAATTTCCTGGAAGGCGCAACTAGCATTGACTTAAGCCTTTAGTTTTTATACTTAGACAGACATGGTAAATATAACTGTATTTATATAAAATTAAACACAACAACCGAGAGTACTGGCTGACGGAATTATTGAGTGATGAGTATGTTCACTCATGTCGGAGCCAGTCATTTGATTCCCACTTCATCATTGGCTTCTGCAGGGAATTACCAGCATACATTGTGTTCAGTGAAAGTGCAAACATCCCATGGTAATATTTGCAACAGTCAACCCATGTATGACAGTCACAGCCCAAAACATGCAGTGCAGCATAGAGACTGTTCTTTTCTCCACTGGTGGTTATGGAAATGCCATTCGCCTACGACGGGGGCCAGTCTATCCACATGGTAAGCCCAACTGGTTGGAGCGACAGAGCAGTGAATGGGTAAACCAAGTTGGTACCTTAAATGTTTCAGCGCGATCGTATTCCACGTGGAACTCTCCATCCCTGAGGAATACACACGCAAAGACAAATAGCACTCTTGTACTCTGGATGCAAGATGGTCGGGGGCATTGGAAAGAAACTATTCACGATGCCGGCACGTGAGTGCGTTTGTAGATTCCCTGCTCAGAGGCTCACTTGTAATGCATCAGTTTGCTGGTCCCTCCAGATTCCACTTTCATCTTCTTGCATAGCTTCCGGCCTTCCGAGTTCCTGTCGATGCAACACACAGTACCGACACTCTGCACCAGCCGTCCCCCCCTTCTTTGGACAATCGATTGCAAGAGGCAAGGGTGAGTGAGAGCATTGCACCGAAAGTGTGAAGGTATCCTTACCCGCAGTCCACCCACGCCACAGTGCCGCTACCGCGCACTGCCTGCCCTACGTCTGACAGAAGCTTTAGTTTCTTGTCCAAGCCAGATTCTGCCACAAACAAAAGCAAAAGGTGAGGTTATAATAACGGCATGTGCAAAGAAAAAGGTGCAGCCCTGCAACTACTAGCTCATGCCACTGCTGGCAGAAGGGCCTCCACTGGAGGGAGTGGTAGAGAGTATTTTGGCCTACTCTCCCACACTGGCCAGATCTCCGGGAAGATGTCGAAGAAACCAAACAATACCCCACCACCTGTGCAACCTGCCGAACGACTCACCGTGCTGTACCCATTTATACGGCTGGGTGGACAGAGGTGGTGGAATTTAAGAAACTCCCGCCATTGTTCCAACTGCAAAGCCAGGAAATCAAATCGACCTCTGGATCAAAAGTGTGTGAACCATTACACCGGATTCTTCCAGTCTGAATAAAAATCCTGATTCTGACCATGGCAATATCCACTGATGTAGCTACCAGATTACAAAACAAAAACCGTGAATCAATTTTCACCTCCAGTGGATTATAGCAAATGTCTACTCAAGTAAAAGATTGTCCACGCTAAAGCAAGCATAGTGGCCCTCAACATGATGTGAAAATTCCAAATTTCCATGACAGAGCCAGGCTCTTTACGGGATGACCACTGCTGACTTTCCACCAAATAATATAGATTCATCGACTATTTTGGGATGACAATGGACCGACAAGACTCCCAAATGGGAATCACTTTGCAGCCTTCTGACTGCGATGAACCATGTCAATTTGTTTCAGCTTTATTTACAAGTGACAAGAGGAGACAGCCATGGGAGAATGCGCACGCAGACACGATAACCACAGGGAAGATGGCAGAGGTCGCAAACGGGTTTTGATTCCTTACCCGTACCCATACCCAGCCGCACCAGGGTCGCAAATGGGTACGGGTAGCCGGGTATCGGGTAGGGTACGGGTACCCGATTGCGACCTCTGGAAGATGGATACACGATATCTGAGCACTTTTACGGGCAGTGCAGCTGAGTGGTGATGTGGCAGGGCAGCCCTACACACACCTCAAAACCCCACAGCACTGACTTCATATCCTGGTTGGAAGTCGATTCATTACAAATGGTGTTCACTACTTAATAAATTAATTCTGATACTAAACACTGTTCTGGGTGCATTGCGGTTTGAGTGCCCAACTCTCCAACAGGTGGTTGAAGGTTCAAATCCAGGTCACTCCATCCCATTTGTCCTTTGGTTCATAAACTAAGTACAGCTGTGGGCGGAAGACAACAATAACAGTTCTACAATCAAGAGTCTGATCACTGCCTTACAAACGTGTAATTTCTGCCACTGCTTAGGGCTGCTATTGGAGATAAGGACTGTCCAATGTGCATTACAACAGAGAAACACCGAGGCGTTTTAACTCGTACAAATAAGAGAAATGACTGTTGCAAAGCTCCGTAGGTGTTGTATCCCACAGACAGAAGTGATAATTTCTAGGCCGATGCAGAATGTTACATCTGAAAATGATGATGCACATAAACACACCCTTCAACATGGCTTGTGAGAGGCAGTACATCAAATTGGCATACATTGCAGGGCAAAAGCTGTCAGGAGTAGCTTTAACTTGAGGACAATTCCAAACTAACTAACACATAGCAGGGAAGAAAAATGCACACTGTCAGTAGATTTAGTTTGAGTGGCTGGCAGCCATGACAATACACTGATTCTGTGTGAGCAGTGCACGCAAACAAAAGGTCAAGCCAATTGATCTTCTGCCACATCACTTGATCATCTAAAGTTCTATCCTGAATTCTCAGCGGCAGCTGCAGAACGGAACGACGAACGCCACTTTACGTTGTTATATTTTCTGACATCCATTATCGGGGCTGGTGGTGGGGTGATCTTATTACTTGGAAGGTCAGGAGTTCATATCCCAGGGAAGTTGGACTCGAGCGAGTGACCCCCTGTGGTTGGTAACAGGAGCACCACTTGGGAGAGACTGCATTGCTCGGTAAGCAGTCAAGAACGACTGCATTAAAGACATGCCAGGCTCAAACATGTGAATGTGGAATTTCCAACACTGGCTCAAGAACATCAATATCAAATATGAGCACCAACAAATGTTGTTCAAGGTCACGGGGACAGGAACATATTTTCATCACTGTGCAATTTATCGCTCCGGCAATTTCTGAAGTGGATGCAACTGATAGTACTCATTATACTCAATGAATGCAGAGATTAAATCATTGGTTATGATCAGCCAAGAGCTCAGTGCAATAGCAGGTTTTATTTATGAGACCTTGAAATCCTACAGAGTGCAAAGCACAAAGATGCAGAACTAGCAAAGCACGATGGGGGTAAGAAAGCCCACCTACCGTGGGATGTATCGCCACATGTGATAGAGAGCTAAGTTGACATTGGCAATATCCCCCAATTGTCTACTTTATAACATACTTGGGTTATATCTGATGGAAACTATTGGCAATCAAACCTTTGAAACGTGACAACCTGGCTCAGTGGTTTTGAAACTGACCACTATGTTGATAAAATATTAAGTAAAAAGCTAAGAGGTAAAAAATAGAAAAACAAGTACAGTATAACAACACAGAGGTCTCAGTCCCGTCACTGATCGATGATGGCACAACTCCACGACATTATATGTTTAATGCGTAAAGGGGTTTATCTAAGCTGTGTCTATTTATAAAAAAAACAATAAAAGAGTTTTATTCCTTGCAAATGAGAACCAAAAAAAAACTATTTAAAGCGATAGTCAACGGGCTTAAATAGCGTAATATCACTGCCGAGGTAACACCAAGTATGGGAGTGATGACAGGTGAAAAATCTTTCATGAACGAACCTTGAAACTAGTGCGGGAGAGAGGCAAGGACACACAGCAAAGCAAATATGTACAAGGGAGCAGCTATGTGCATTAATTAGGTATATAGCAGCTCTGCTTAGTTAGAAAAAATCTAGTTGATTCCCACAGAACAAACCATCTTTGGAGAGCAAGCCGGTGCTACAAAGGTAGTCTGATGATGCCATCTTCAGGGGCCGTTCCCTGGACATGATACGGCACTCACCGCTGTGACGGACGTGAATGGACAACATGTATTCATCTCGATGCTCAAAGCGCTATTGGAAAATAATTGGAGAATATGAATTTTAAAACGAGCAAAATCCAAGGATTTACATATGCAATTAGCTATGGTTTTCTTACGAAGTATATTTGTGATAACAAGTACTCCTGAATATGCCCATGACACATCTAGTTTTAGCCAATCATCACCACCACCACAGAGAATGCTCACACCGCGGGAATGTGTAATTTTCACCACTGGTTCAAAGGTCACCACAGACAATGGGCACACCGCAATCGCTTGATTGAGCTGGGAGATTAATGGCCAATTTTTTTCGGAGCCGAAGTAAAAAAAAAATCTGTCGAGAGACACGCGTTCAAATGTAATGTCCAAATGAACCTAAAAGACACTTCTTTCTCAACCACGCGCAACCAGAAATCGTTACGCTTGAATACGCATACAACAATACACAACAATACACAACATTAGCTCTGTGAAGTTAACCTAAAATAAACCAAACGAGAGCCAGAAATCTTTCAATCAATCAGTTGGTCTGGCCGAGGGTGGGGGGGGTTGAGTAAGGGGGTTGCGCTTGCAGGGATGCTACAAGAATGACTGCGTAATTTCCGGGTAATTAACTTTAAAAATGCTCGTTGGCACCACCAGGGAAATGTGCAAGCCCCATATAATTACTGGGAACCTGTGGGCTGAGGTTGCATGGCAATTGGTGAGCAATTACCGGTGACCGTATATATAATAACCTTAACTGAAAACTTCCCTTTGAAGAAACTGCTGCAGCTGACTTGACTGTTTATTGCAAAATTCAACATGCAAACATAGCACGGGGTGGGATGCTCCAGTCAATCCAAGCAAAGATAACTATTGAGAAGTAGGATCATAGTCTATGGGTCTTTCGGTAAAAGCACGTAGATAGAAAAATAATGAAAATGTCACGACGTTTCCATCGCAACACAAGCAATCGTCTTCAGGTGAGAGAGAGCTGGTCAGACAAGGTCTTAAGTAGGATCAGTTAGGCGAAGGTAAGCCAGGGAACGGTACTTATGTAGACCACGATCAGTATGCAGCAGTCTGATTAAGGTGCATCTCAGTTAAAGCCAGTGTTGGGTGGTGCTCACCTATTTTGACAGTGGTGGTATTTACACATTGCTATTTTCCGGTTAAGTTACCACTGACTTCCCGTGAAAAGTAGTCCTTGTTTTTTTCGACCGTGGAGAGCTGAACGACTGGGATTTGTAAGTGAAACCCATTTGATTGAGAGTTGGGCACACTAACCACAATGCCACCAGGCTGATTATTAGCATCAGTATTCCAGAATTTAGTTAGCGGGCAAAATTTGAATTTCAAAATTTGCAAATTAATCTCACTATACGTGTACACAATGTGTACGTTTTGTATGTAACGGTCTTGAATGTAAATGTTCGAGTGGGAACTTAGTTGTTTCAAGAACTGCATATGTGACTGGGAGGCAGCAGGAATTGAAGTAATGATTTCGGCTTGATTGAAGGTTCACCAATTACGAGGCTATGCAAGCCAACCCGCTTTATTTTGTACATTTAATTACAACACAACACAACCATCCCAGGTAGTCAATCTTTTGGAGTTTATTTTTTTACCAACAACTTTACGTAACCACACCTATTGGCTCATTGGACTTTAGCTTTTCTAGAGTTCTCTGTGTAATAAAGATTGTGGTGGCTGCGTGACAGCACGGTTCGAGTGCTTGAGGTTTTAATTTAAAATCCATGTTGGAGAACACCCAGCCTATCTTTCTTTACCGCAGTGTTTCTAACAATGAGTTATCACGTTTTTCTGGAAAGGCAACAGACGTGCAAAAGTGGAATTTCTACCACTTGGTGCAGGGGGTGCGCCAAGGGAGATGGTGACCCTCCACTGTTCATTTGAGCAAGAAGACTCGTTGAATTGGCCTTGACTTCACATCTCTATAGAACAGCGAACGTGCCAATGCCCTCCCCGTTGAAAGCGGTCTCTGTGGAGCAATAATTAAGTGCCGGCCTTTTTTCTGCAAATCGCAATCGGCATTTGATTGGGTCCATTGTTTGAAACAGACTTCAGTCATCCTAGCAAAACTCTGACAATATCTGCGCATTACTCAATCAAACCCACTGCTTCAATGCCATTAAACAACAAGATAGAAACTCCCAAGCATAGATTGTATACTACTATCGGTTTTCTTGCGGAGATGGAATGCACCCGACATCACTTCCACCCTCAGGGTGTATTATTTGATAGACTTCTGCTAATCCACATTGATTGAAACCAGGCCTTTTAGAATTAATGAGAAACATGGAAATTAGTGAAACCACACAGTGTAAATTCAAATGTATCTTTGTGTGCGAATGCATATCCACGTTTGTGAAGAGACAGAAGGGAGATTAGTGTTATTTGAAAAGGCCAAGGGGTAGAATGGAGAGACCTTTGCATAAATAGCATTAACCTGGGTTAATTGTTAGTTTGTCTTGGACAGCTGTGAGTGTTCATTTACCTGTTTGTGAATGTGTATACTAACAGCCAGCTTTCTTTAAAATCATGATACAGTTAAAATAAATGTCCATGCATTTAGCAATGCACCAATAACTTTATTGGACGGTTTTCTAGATCATGACACCAATAAGCGGAAGCAATCTTTTGACAAATATGTGATTTACAAGTGTTCATTCTTGTTTACATGTGTTTTCTCCAGGCACTCCACTTTCACAAACACACACGTAAAAACAAAGAATGAATTAGTCATCAACCTCACATCTCGAGCAGGACCCTTGCAAAGCAATACATAATAGTCATCTATCTAGGAAAGTCCCGCAAATTATCAATATGATTTTTTTGAGAGGGTCCTCCAATGGGATGTTTGAGCAAATGCTTTTTGAGTATTTTTAAAACATTACGTGGGTGCAAACCCATGTCTTGCACTATCATATCCTGGCCTTCTCACAGCCCGGCAGAATCGTTTGCACGCATGACGAGCTCTGTGCAATCCAACAACCTCAAATTTTAAATCTAATCCTCACTAAAAATTGTTAATTCTGGATTCATGATTTTGTGGATATTTGTGCTCTCGTCATGAGTTCCAATGTATTGGTTGAGTCTTGCAAAATTTCAAGATGGGTACCGTCATTTAGTAAATCTCAGATTTTATTAACATAAAATCTTAATTTTCTTATATTTTGTTCTGGAAATTTACATTTGTCAGTTCTTCTGGCAATCTCGTGTGCAAGTCATCTCAGCCTGGTTATGTGTAATGTAGTCAATCACTGTCTGCATGGTAAGGGGAGGCCCTCATCCAGCAGTGGATTGACAAAGAGGCTGGTTGATAAAAACAAAACAGCATCACTTTGTGGGAATTCAACATGAATTTATTTTAGAGATGCTGGCTTCTGCCATCTAAACGTGGAATTTCCACCACTGGCTTCAGACCAATAGTGATGAGCACCGCTCCATTATTGATTTGAGGAAGAACGCATTTGCCTTTAAACAGCGCGAGGTACTTTCCGGATTCTTAGGGTTGAGTGTTAGTATCCAGGGCTCAAGCGGAAAAACCAAGTCACCTTCAGGATTCCTCAGGTTCACGTTACGATCTGATACTCAAGAAAATGAATTCAAGCAGAACTGTTTTTTTTACTAAAGCATAACATCACTGCTTGCCACACTATTTAAACTACTAGCTTGTTTGCCCGTCCAATGACGGGTGTATATTGCAGTAAATCTGACATTTTAAATAGAAAAATTGTTCAGCTCATGATTATTAATGAGGGGGGGGGGGTTGCCCCATGTGGAGTGACGTCACCTGTTAATGGTTATTGGGGAGTGGTGGGACATGTGGAGTGACGTCACCCGCTCATGATTATTAATGAGGGTGGGGCTCATGTGGAGTGACGTCACGCGCGGGACACACACACAGCCTTTTTAGGCTCGTAATATTAGTTACTGCGTTGATTTCTTTATAAGCTTTACTTTCCATAAAGAAAGGTCAAAATGAAAGCTAATTTGCGTACATTCATTTTCGTTTCCACTCCACCTTCCTCATGTGGAGTGACGTCACCCATTCATGATTATTAATGACGGGGGGAGGGGGGGTCCATATGGAGGACCCCAGCTGTTCCTGATTATTAATGAGGGGGGCTGGTAGCAGTGGAGTGACGTCACGCGTGTTACACACAGACATTCTTGGCTCATTATATTCGTGATAAACTATTTTAATTTGACCGAGTAAGGCCCACTGAGCTATAGAGCTCTTTTTCAGAAGTGACCTGGCCACAAATGATAGCCCAATTAAGTGGCTCATCGTATGGAAATCTATAGCAGCCAAATATTAAAATAACCAGGAGGACCCGGAGAAAAGTCCATGCGACCAAGAGGGAAAACAAAATATACAGGCATCAGGGTCGCGATCGAACCCAGGACCTCCTGCATACCAGGTGAGGTAGTTGACATCTCGCCACATAACTTCTCACCAAACCTCGCTTGGGAGGTATTAAGTTTTCACTTTAGGCCAGAGGTCGCAAACGGGTTTTGATTCCTTACCCGTACCCGGCTGCACCAGGGTCGCAAATGGGTACCCGTACCCGGCCGGGTACGGGTACCCGTTCCCTACCCGTACCCTACCCGAAATGAGTGACAAACGGTTACTCACCAGTGACTCACGGCCTACCCGTACCCGTACCCGGCCGCACCAGGGTCGCAAACGGCTACCCGTACCACGTACCCAGCCGGGTACGGGTAGCCGGGTATCGGGTAAGGTATGGGTATTGGGTACCCGGTTGCGACCTCTGCTTTAGGCGCTGCGCATTCACCGCCAGGCACCCACCTCCCTGGTGGTAGAGCACCAGCACGTTGTTGCGCGTGCGGATAATCTTCCTCAGCTCCTTGTGGTCGTCGGGCTTTTCAACGCGCGGCGCCGACTTGGCGGAGAGCACGGCACACACGCACAGGGCCTTCACGGGGGACGCACACACGCACACACACGCACACACACGCACACACGCGCACAGATATTGAACATCACGAGGTCGTCACGATAAAAGGTTTATGCTACCAAAATCACCCGAGCTTCCATCATTCTGCTGTATTTGAGTGATTTGCTTAGATTTCGATTTAAAGCTTTCGTGACTGCAGAGATCCATCTTCTTGGTTCTTTCGGTAAAGTCACGTAGAAGGGAAGCAATAAAATAATAAAAATAAAACATAATAAAATAAAATTCTCACGAATTATTTTAATAAAATAATTCTCACGAATTATTTTATTTTATTATGTTTTATTTTTATTATTTTATTGCTTCCCTTCTACGTGACTTTACCGAAAGAACCAAGAAGATGATTTGCTTAGCTTTCCTATACTTTGCACTCCGATCGTGTTTTTTTTTTATTGCTTGTTGTTTTTACCTTCTGACCCTGCCGCCCCTACTAGACATCTGTGAACAAGAGCTTTATAGCTCATCAGATTCCTCCAGGATAATTAAAGATTCTGATAAATATTCTGAGATCACACATCTGTTGCATAGTTACCACTTGACCTCCACTATGTGGTGTTAGGTCTTCCCCATGGCCACCGACATCTGAGTGCCCCCACTCAAACACATTCCTGCGGAGGGAGCTGGTAGGAACGTTGGGTTGCTCGGTCAATGGCCAGGGTCTACGGCGGCGTGGTGTGAGGGCGGGCACAAGCCGGTGTGAGTAGGTTAAACGTTGAGTTTTATAAGGGCACCACGGGGTGACCAGCACCTCCCCACCCCACCCAGCCCCACCCCTCCCACCCCCCACCCAGCCCCTCCCCACCCAGCCCCTCTCCACCCAGCTCCACCCCTCCCATTTTTGGATGCACGACGGACGGACACAATAATCCCCTGTGGGCTGGTGGAACCAGGTGGTTCCTACCAGTGTAAGTATATACTCTACTGAATGTACTCTGCAGCAGTGGCTGGGAATCGACCCCCGAGTCGATGGGTTCATAGCGCAATGCGCCAACCACAACGTTTTACCCAGTGCCTGCCACTCCTGTTAAACCGAGGACGGCTGTTAGTGAAATCCCACAGCGCTCATTAGAGCGAGCGGTGTTGTGAATATAACGTGTTAAGACTCCACCCACCACTAGTTAACGCCAGCACTGTTGCAAGGGGAGGGAGTGTGAGGCATGCTGCACCCTCTTAGAACCCTTGGCATTCATATACTAAGAAGGGCCATTGCCTGAAACGTCAGCTATTGCATATATTTCCACAACCGGCATTGGACTGAATTGACAAAAGGGCTGTGCATACAATGATATAGTTAATGTCCACATAACTAGCATTATCTTCATCAAATTAGCTTTTACAGTTTATTTCATTGTGTTGTTTACAGCTATTGTTCATCATGTAAACTCCATCATATTTTACATACAAGGTTATAGAGTATTGTGTGCACAGCAAATGTCATCAGTTTTTTTTTAAAGCAAATAAAATGTCGATTTTTGTTGTTGCCAATGTTTAATATTTTCATTTGTTTTCCATTTGTACGCTTTCGTTTTCCCTTGCAAAAGAGCTTCTTCAACAGATTTGCATTGGAAAAAACCACCCAGAAAATCAATCAAAACCCTTTATGGTCCATTGAATAAGATCCGCCATTGGAAAACTGAACTACTGAAAGTGTTTGCGGTCCATGTGAGAGTGAGACGTGGCATATCCTACTATGCGTACCGGATACTCTTCACGGTAGCTTTAACCCGAATCATGCAAAAAAAATATGTACGTTGCCAATTCTCAAAATCCGTGTTTCCCTCTTGAAAATGTTAGGGTGTTTCTTGGTCTCTCTTTCACACTTCCCTAACCTTACCCGATGACACTTTTAGCACTCACAATACTAGCGAGCGAAATACCCATTGGAGTTAAACAATTTAGATTGTGACCACATGATCAGTCTGCGTGGCCCACTGCCTCACGTCAGCCACTTGAGTGGCCTAAAAGGTGAGGGGAGACAATTTACTTCCCTTGACTGATTCACAGGGACAGGTTCCGTCTGCCCTACAGCCCAAGTGAGTATGATTAAGTGGCAAGTGATAATGTTTAACTTTACAAATACTTTATAACACCAGTGTATATTGCCAAGCCGAAATGTGTGCATTTCTGCACAGCTACAGCTGAAAAGTCAGGTGATTGATCAGATTTGACTCCCGTAACTCCAGTAAGCATTGGGCTGTGCTCATCTCCTTTAAGATTTGGTAATCAACGGTGGAAATTACACATTACCATGACGGAGATGAGTCTCAATAACGCATCAATTACTATTTGGAGAAACGTCTTAGTCATATAGGATGGTACATTCTGGCACAATTACCACTGGCTTTGCACGAAGTTACTGTTTTGTTTGTTATAGTCCTATGAAATGGATCAGTTCCCTATAAACACAACCCTAGGAAGTGATCAAACTGAATTTACTCGTACCACCGTGTTCTTGACACAATCTCTGCTGACGTCCAAGTGTTGGCAAGTCCTCAATTCTATGACAGCACCCAAGTTTGTCCTTGACGTTCAATGCCGACTCCCCATCCAGTGGAAATTAAACATTTATACGGTTTTGCAAATCGACAAAAAATTCAATCACTTGGCACTTCCTATCGAGGTCGTTTGTTGAGTGTTTTTTGGTAAGTTCACTACTGCTCGAGGGCCTCCCCACGCAGTGTGGTTTGTGTGGGGTCCTTCTGACCATACTTGGTTGGTGAAAGTGGAGTGCAAGGCATGGGAGCTTAGAAGTACAGTACAAGTCACAGCAATGTGTTGATGGAATTTGCTCGCTCCTACCCACAACACAGTCCCCGACTTCCCAGGCAACGGTGTCAACTCCACGTTCACACGACGCGACCCGGTCCATCGACATGACGAGAATCGGCGTCGCGTTTCCGCCAAGCGGTACAAAAAAAAAGAGACAAAAATTCCACGTTCCTATGGCAGGGCCCAATACATCCACCGTACAAAAGTGTTGCTCGTCCCACCGCCCCACCACACACCCCCAGAGGATGATGGTAACGGTGATAGTTTAGCGTTAAGCCGACGACGACCTGCGTTTAAACTGTTATTGCATTAACACGATGCTGATACTAATACTGACAACTGCTGTTGTCACTGCTCCCTTAACAAGACGACGGCGGAGAACAAAAGTGCAAAAGTCAACCACAAAGTTACGACCGCATCCTGTACACGTGTAATATCGTCGCCTGGGCAGCGCTTTACAAATCGTTAAGGAACAGAAGCAAACGCAGCAGCACACAATGAAGCCGACGGGACGAACATTTCGCCGCTCCACGTCCACATCACGCAACGTTGCAAGGGTCATTGTAAAACGGGCGCACATTTGCTAGAGCGCTTAAGCATCGACCGCACGTGTGCGCGCACGCCATTGGCTCGCGCGCCCACGTGCCGGACGCGCTCTGCGACGCGATTGGTCTAGAGAGTAAAGCGATGCCCCGCTGCGACCAATAGCGAGCGCGCACGCCTATCCACGCTGGTAAATGTAATCGCGGGGGCGACGGTGTTAAAGACTATGGGGGTGTGTGATTTCTTACCGACACGGCCATGCGGAGAGGCGCGATCTTTGGCAACATTTTGTTGTACAAGAGGCGAATGTTTTGTTGTTCAGCTGAATCGAGAGCAACAATTGCAAAGGAGCGCGTTGAGTTGTGAAGAGAGCGGCTGGCGGAGATGGAGCCACGCGGTGCCACGTCCCGCGAGCTGATTGAGCAGTGGGCGAAACCATCGAGTCCTCAACCGGCGGGGGGGGGTGGGGCTGTTGTGGTGGTAGGCACTGCTTAGAATGGTAAATATTTAAATTGGACAGCTTCAAGTTTAATTAATTTACTTTGGTTTAGCCAGTCGAGAAGTAAGGATGGTGATCTGAGTCACCAAAAATTACAAAAAAACTATTTCGTGTAAAGGGGCCGTCCATAAATGACGTCACGCGATTTTGGACGATTTTTGACCCCCCCCCCCCACTCGTCACACGGCGTCACAAAAAGTCAGACCCCCCCCCTCAAATATGACGTCACAAAGCTCTGCCCCCCCCCCCCAAAACCATATTTCCAATTTGAAAATTAAACGTGCTTCAAATCGCTTTAAACTATTGTCATTGTAGTGCGTATTTAATGTGGCGCTGCACTCTGATGTTGTAAGAGTGTCATTATAACAATGAGTGTTGTTATAACAATTCTATATTCATTTAAAGTTGCGCATTTTGATGTGACGTCACATTTCTCAAACCCCCCCGCCTCGTCACACAAATATTCAGAAATGTCTGACGTCATTTATGGACGGCCCCTTACTGTGTTTTGACAGTCACTATAATGCATCTGATTAGAATCTATATGCAATATCCCTCTTCGTCCAGCGCAATTTCCAGACACACCCGTCCCCAGGATAATTAGAAACTGTTTTTTTTTCATAGCTTTTGTTCCATTTTCTTTGTCAGTGGTCTCTGTTCTCAAGCCATCTGAAAGCAGATAAGAGGCGTGGCAAAGATATGCCACGGTCTTACAGCGACATCGGAAAACATTATCTTAAAATTGCAATGGCAAAATAATAAAATCAATGTACTTGCATAACTAATATGTGCTGAGAGTTTTTACGACAACCAATGAAAATTAATCACGGGGTAGGATTGGAGAACTTGATATAAAAGGCTAAAAAAGTTGCGCAAGATGTTCAGAAAAAAAAACAAGTACAATTATTGAAGGCAACCTGGGATCAGAACTAAGGAATAAAAGTTGAGTGACAGCTGCTAAAACTGAAATTGATGCTATAATAAAATGGTCAATCCGTGGAATCGATATTGTTTGTAGTACTTGTGTAATACTTTAGATAGTGTAAAATTGTTGTATATAATAAAGCTATTTTGTTTATTGCTGCATCTAGATGTTTTTGTCCAATTTACATTTACAATACTCTTAGTTCTTTCGGTAAAGTCACGTAGGTAAAAAAATGAAATTAAAATTAATACAAATAAAATAAAAATCACGACGTTTCGGAGGCAACACAAGTCTCCGTCATCAGGTGGGACCGTCACAGCCAGATTTTTTTACCTACGTGACTTTACCGAAAGAACTAAGAGTATGAATCCTTGCAGTCACGAAAGCTTCAAATCTAGAATTACATTTACAATATTGTGAGTCTTTGACCAAATCACCTGGAAGTCACGAGGTTGGGTCTGGATAGTGCTTGGATGGGTGATCACCGTGCAAACACAGCTGTTATCGGCTGCTACAGGACTATGCTGTGGCTAGCAGAGGTCAGTAGAACAACATACATTGTTGTACCACACTTCTATGGTCCTCCATCTTCACTAACCCTCACTGAGCAGCGTGGTGACGTTTTGTCAAATAACCCGTCACGTACCATGAAGAAGGGCAATTGCCCGAAACAACGTCTCCTGGATTATTTTTTTGCAAAGGCAGCTTTATTGACAAATGTGCTAAGTTCTTTCCCAACATCCATCCTTCCACAGCTTCCTTAATAATATTGGATATCTGTGCAAAAGAGCATCATAGCTTATCGGATTCCTCCTGTATCAATACATATTCTGATTCTAAAATCTTTCACCCTTGAGAATTTGTCCAATTCGCGTATTTTTCCGAGCGGCTCGCATTCGTAGGATTGCCTCGGCCGGGTGTTGACTCAATCCATCATCCCGGGTCGATAAAATAAATACCACTTTGTCGATAAGTCAACAGTGGCTCTCCTACGCAGAGACTCATCCCCGCCATAATAATGTTGCATTTCTACCATTAGCTCAGGGGTGTAAATAGAAGATGAGCACTGCTTCAATGCTTTTTTGAGCAGGAAATCACTTTGACTTGACATCTTTATATACTTTTCTATGGGCTCACGGGAAATACAATAGTCTCCTGTGAGCGACTGTGGTTACGAACACTAAAACCATGGCTCGTGTAAGCTCGCACTGACCCAAATCTAAATATTAAGTCGGTGTATCTGCGATTCACCATCTCTGGGACAAAGCATTTGAACGGCTAAATCGCTTTGAACCTGAATCTCTAATCGATGTTCGTTGGACAATTTACACCCCTCCCGTTTGACTTGGTACAGGCCAGGCGCGTTGTTGTGGGCGGGTCCATGTGGCGAGGGGGCGTGCCCTGCACGTTTGGGGTGTGTCCATTTGTATATTAGCATATCGTGTGGGCGTGTTCACATGAAGTGGGGGTGGAGCTTAGAGGGGTGTGTGTGTATATCTTTAGGTGGGGAATGGTGGCGCAGTGGTTAGCGCATTGCGCTTCGGAAGCAGGGCTCGAGTTTTCCGCTCACATCAGTGGCACATATCTGACTCTGTCCTGGTCCTTCCCTAGGTATACTCAGCCTTAAAATGAGCACCCGGTGCTGTGTGTGTAAACATCAGAATTGGGAAGACAAAGGCGGCCGGGCGTGGTTCTGGCCACCAATCTCCCTCGTGTGCCTTGCTGGCATTCATTGGTGGTGCTCGCTAACAGCACTTGCTCCAATAGCCTGCTGAAGGCTATACGGGGGACCTTTGGCGATGCAACGAGTCTCGCGATATTAATGCATCATAACATTGTTAAGCCAGCGATGTTGCCTATTTAACTCATCGTTGTGAATTCGACCGCATTTCGCTCAACCCTACGCTAATTGTTGTAACTTTACATCTCTAATACTTGTCACAACGCACGTGCTGTCAGACTACTATGACGTCACATCATCGACATTTCAATTACTTAAAAAAAACAACGCACGCGTTCGATTCAGGGGTGCACGGTATAAATGTTTAACTTTGGTTGTTATCCTGAACTTTAATTATTGCCATAAATGACGTCACGCACCTCGGGGGGGGGGGGGTCAGACATTTGTGACGATGTGTGACGAGGAGGGGGGGGGTGAGAGAATTGTGGCGTCACATCAAAATGCGCACGTTCTACTTAATTAAAAATACTTTTTAATAAATATGGTTTTGGGGGGGTGGGGGCAGAGCTTTGTGACGTCATATTTGAGGGGGGGGGGGTCTGACTTTATGTGACGCCGCGTGACGAGGGGGGGGGTGGTCAAAAATCGTCCAAAATCGCGTGACGTCATTTATGGACGGCCCCTTAATGAGATATGATTATCGTGGACCGGATCACTCGATATATCGTGATGTGGTCATTTCGCGGCAATTCCTAAAGCGTGTGGGGAGCCGTGGTCACAATCCCGGCGTGCAGACATCGATTCCCGCGCACGGCTATTAACATCAATGGTGATTATTCACCCATTCTGGGGTTTGGGGCCGTCCATAAATGACGTCACGCGATTTTGGACGATTTTTGACCACCCCCCCCCCCTCGTCATACGGCGTCACAAAAAAGTCAGACCCCCCCCTCAAATATGACGTCACAAAGCTCTCCCCCCCCCCCCAAATAAAACATGCTTCAAATCGCTTTAAACTATTGTCATTGTAGTGCGTATTTAATGTGGCGCTGCACTCTGATGTTGTAGGAGAAAACATTTATTAAAAAGTATATTTAATTAAGTAGAACGTGTTGTCTACATTAATTTAAAGTTGCGCATTTTGATGTAACGTCACATTTCTCACCCCCCCCGTCACACATCGTCACAAATGTCTGACCCCCCCCCCCCCCCCCCAGTTGCGTGACGTCATTTATGGACGGCCCCTTTCCCCTAGATCTACTCAGCCTTCAATGAGTACTAGGCGCTGTGTGTAAATCTCAACACTGGGAGGACAAAGGCGGCCGAGTGTGGTGCATTCGCCGTGCTGGCTTTCGAAGATGCTCGCTAACAACACTTCCCCCCACATCCTCTGTACGGTCGAAGTTTGTGGGTTTTTTGATTGACATGTAGGCGGGTCCACGTGGCATGGGGGGACTGGATCAATGAGTGGGGGGGGGGTGTGAGAATGTTACTCTGTGGGTGGGTGCACATCGTTAGGGGGTGGAGCATGCAGGGGGTGTGTGTGTGTGTGTTTTTGTGCGTTCAGCCAGTGTGCGTGTGTGTGTGTCGAGGCGGGCCCACAGTGTGTGTGGGTGGAGCTACATGGTCCGTGTGTGTGTGTGTCTTTGGAGCGGTGAGCATCAGCATCCAAGGCGCTCACTTGCATGCATGTGCAGCTGCGAGTTGGGTGCAATTCATCCCTCTTGGGTTGTTCAGCACATAACGTCTCTCGATGTCTAACACGCATGCTCTGCCCCACCGATTTGCAGACACACGTAGACACGCAGGCACACTTTCAAGAGTCTAACACTCCATCACAACAGACGCACACTCTTTCATCACATGCATCGTCAGTCACTGAGGCTGCGTCATAGACATCGTCTTTTTGTATGTCAGGCACACGCAGAGGGTACCTCGGTGGTTTTCACTCGCCGTCTTCCCATTGTCACACGCACACACACGCGCTCTCTATCTGCACCACACACGACACCACACACACACACACTCTCTTGTCGCGCAGTGTACAGCAACGCACGCGCGTCTCCTCCAACGGAGCTGCATTCGTCCCAAAAACAAAACTTTGACGTTGACATCTTGAAGAAGCCACCAAGGTGCTGCCATGCCAGACGCGTTGAGCAGTCCGCGCAGGTGATCATTTGCCGACAGCAGGTAAGAAAGTCCTCTCGTCGTTGAACGGATGTTTTGTTTTATCGTATTAAAAGTTGTGCCGCGCACATTTAACCGAACTATGTTGCGATAGCGCATTATCGCTCCGCCAACATGCACCTGCCAGACTTTTTGCAACAGAGGGCGCTTTTAATAGGTCGCGTGTGGTTTATACGTCCCTGACACTGCCGCATTGTGTAGGCAATGTGAATTGTGGATAGCACGGTTTATAGCCTCACATTGTCTTCTTCCCAAGGACGTGAGTATGGAACTAATCATGGGAATAACTATACCGCAGAGAGCAGGAATAGTCAAAATGTATTGACATACTATTGGTCCTAAATGATCAGTAATTAATTCCTAAAGTCCTGTTAAGCAACGTAAAATGACTGCATTTCATGCCATCAACTACGGGCATCTTAACGCGTAGATTTTCGCAGTCGACATTACGATTCGTCGTTAGCTTTTTGGGTCAGGCCACGGAATGATCTGGCCAAACTTGTGTTGTGACGACCCTTCACCACCCGACACGAATGAATTAGTCACGTGTGGCGCACCAGTTATTATTGCTGCTGCAACGAAGTGGAAAATTGCAGACAATTCCCGCACAACCGAATAGAGCGGTCGGATTCGTGGCGTTCTGCTTGAGACTAGGTCACGCATTTTCAGGTCAAGACCCGTTCATTATAGCTTATTGTACGTGCGGTGTGTACAGTGCTGCTAGTTGTAATTACCGGCTAAACGTCGTTCTCGAATTGTGAATGTTGTGGGTTTACTCTCCAACACACCGGTGTGCTGTACTAGTTCAATGTCTGGTGGGTTTAACGACACATTTATATTGACCTGATCTAACCCAACCCTCACACCCCCCCTTCTATTATCGTTGTTTTCAGTGTTTATATAACGCCAGTGCTCTGTTTCAATGTTGATTCGTGAAGTATACGTCGGTTTAATTTTTATACCGTGTACGGAAAACACGGCGTAATTATGACGTGAATTTTCTCGTGGCGATGCGATGTACATTGAATCAAAGGGTGCTTACATTACACGGTAATTGCTTTTTATATGGAAAAAAAACTCGACACTCCACACGCAGTGCTGTAATTGTATCTAATTTAGCCCAGGCGTAACAAACGGCATCGTAAGTTTCAGTTTGGCTGGTGGAATAGCATTGCTTTTATGTTGCAATTACAGTTGTGATGTTGTCTATTTAACTATCGTTGGTATCACCGGGTGAACACCCATGAAGTACAATGAACTATTTTGCAATGTAGGGCACGAGAGTGATCTGATCCAAAATCTCTTAAACTCTCCGCGTCTGACTAAAAGCACATTGTGTGTAAACACATCACAGAAGGTGTGCTGTATACACGTGCATGTATTACTACAAGTCATGCAGTATTCGTATCCAAGTGAATTTGCTCAAGCTAGCTATAGGCAGTGGGTATTATTATATGCGTTCGGTGATCCTCAGCCAGTGGTATAAATGAGACATTCGTATGCATAGGGTGGCCACTGCTGACTTTACTCACACAGGATGGGCACTGTTCACCTCCAATATATCGGTAATACTTTTAGCTCTCCGATGTGTTCTCGGGATGCGTACCACTTGTCATTCGGCTTGGTGTCCGACGTTTTACCCCACGTGCTGGCAGCTTCACCACGTCGAAACATCGGACATCGTGCCAAACGACACGCGGCACGACCCGAAAACGCGCCGCACACCAATGCAGCACAACCGCAAGGGACTGTGAAGTGGTATTAGATGTATTGACCCTGAAGAGACCAAGTCACGTCCACTTGTTTAACCAGGGGCGAACTTAAGAGAGCACGATAGTCTCATTTGCAAGAGTGACCCTGGTCTCTAAAATGACGAATGGAAAACAACAGTGGGCTAATTTGAGCTCCACTTAGATTTGAATCGTGCCCCGTTTCTGACAGTGCGGCAAATGCCCTATAACTACAACACCCCCCCCCCTTGGTAGGATATATTCACTCAGTCATTCGCGATACATTGCACGTAATCTTTCAAAAATCCGCTCATGCTGGGAAGCTCCTTTTAAAATCCACTTAAAAGCCCGCAACAGCATTTGGACTGAAAAACTTCAACATTGGAGAGCATCCATGTCAACAACTCTGCATGGCTCTATGTGTTTGTAAGCACATTCAGCCTGCTCGTGACTGGTCTATGCCCGTCATTAGGCAGCAACATCTCAGCGGGAAGTCTGCTCGTGGCAATACAGATTTAAGGACACAAACAGGCTTTAGACGCACCGAGGCAACCGTCGGCTTGGGGTTTTCGGTCAGAGCAGTTGGCGGCTCGCGTTGGGTCTCCTGGGGCCGGGGCTGGGTTCTCCTCTTGAGCGTCCTGCGCTGGCAGCTCGTCACGGAATAATGGCTCCTCGATGAACGTGCACAATTAAAATCTAAAACGCACGTGCTGTTATTTGGAATGGCAAAAACGGAGCGACATGAGTCTGCTCCTGAGGATGTCATCATCTCCTTACCATACGGTTAGCGGCGCTGCGTTACGAGTTCGGCGACCCAAGTTCGAATCCCGCTCACGGCCAACACCCGGTGACGATCATCTGAACAGGTTCTGGGCCTCCCCTAGGTCGACTCGGCCTCAAATGAGTACCTGGTGCGCTGTGTAAACAACATCACTAGGGAGACAAAGGCGTTTAGTCGTGGTACTGGCCATCCACCCCCTCGTGTGCCGTGCCGGCCTTCATAGGTACCCCAACAGTCTCTTAAGGCTATACGGGGGATTTTTGTCTTTACCATACTCAAATAGCCTTTGGGTGGTGTCCATCTAAGTTGTTGAACCTGAGCCAGTGGTGAACCATTCTTATTTTAGGGACAAGTCTACCTATGGCACCGTTTTATTAACCCCAGTGGGATGATCACTTTTGCATTCCCACCACGTGATGCTCACTGCACCCTCCACACACACAGACGATGGGCTGAATGGACCTGGGCTGGGATTTTAACTCACGCGCTCGTGAACGAGGATTTAGGATTCCTCTGTGCACTACCAAATTGCTGTGAGCCCAGGCGAACAAGCACATTGGCTGCATAAATGATGTCTCCTACACGACGATTCAACATTTACCGAGATAATGTAATGTTGTACTTTGGATGCATGACTGCATGAGTAATTGGCTGACTTAAGGAACGGCTGATTAAATTATTAACGAGGAAATAGACTGACGGTGCTTCATGAATGAATGTGCACGCTGCTGACGGGCACATGCGTGGCGTTTAGTTTCGATGCCATAAGGCTTCGAAACTTTGAGGCTAAATATAGGCTCATAACTGCATTAAGAACTTCTAAATTAGAAGTTGCTGGGTGGCTAAGAGGGATGAACGAATGCCCCACGTGAAACATTCGGCCCGTGCGACTGAGATGATCATTTTGACCCCTGAGCTCCCACGTCAAATAAACCAGGTTTTCAAGATTTCTCCAACCCAGTCATAATTTGTAATCTCCCTTCGTACGTGTGTTTGTCGAACTTCTTTCGCACCGTACGCAGCCAACCGTGCTCATCGGAAACACGGGGGAAGGGCAAAAAACCTTTCTTCATCTTGGCCCAATTGTAGGGTATAAAATGTACACACATCCTGTAACGCAGTCGAGGTAAAGGCGCATCCCTGCAATGTCTTGCTCGACACCACTGCCAGCAGAAGAACCCTTCACAGGAGGGAACTCGAGAATGTATTTGGTCTCCTCTTCCACGTTGACCAGACGAGGATTCGAGCCTAGGATGTCAGCAGTGCTGGCTTGAGCACTCTGACCCTCACTCAGCCGTTATCTCACGCTCTGCGGGAAGAGCGGCGTTTTTTGAGCGAAGCCATCTATCCTCCACGCTGTGGCCAGCACGCTGCAGCCAATGCCACCAATGGCATTGCAACTCGCCGTCTCTTCTTTCTGATAGTTAGCTCCCTGAGTTGTGAAACCGCGTAACAATCCTCATTGCAGCAAGCCAGCAAACTGGCACACTGGCTTGCCCGTGGTGTTCTATCATGCCCAAAAAGACCCCCCCTCTTCCCCCGTATAGCCTGTAACAGATACAATCTTGACTTAAAGCTTTCGTGACTGCAGGGATTCATACTCTTTGGGTCTTTCGGTAAAGTCACGTAGGTAGAAAAATAATAAAATAATAAAAATCACGACGTTTCGATCGCAACACAAGCAATCGTCATCAGGTGAAAAAAATACAGCAGGTGGACTGCTGAGGCAGGAATAAATATCGTCTGTGACAGATCATTGGGGCAAGTGCTGTTCACGAGTGCATATAAAGGCCGGCACGGCACACGAGGGGATGGGTGGCCAACACCACACCCGGCCACCTTTGTCTTCCCAGTGTTGATGTTTACACACCGCACCAGGTGCTGTACTCATTTAAGGCTGAAACGACTTAGTAGAGATGTAGAACCGGTTCAAATATTCGCCACTCCTATTGGCCGTGAGCGGGAATTTGAACTCGGGTTCGCCGGTTTCATAAGGCATAGCGCTAACCACTACACCATCGCTCCCTCCCCAACACACAACCAGTCTATGACGAACATTCACGTCGTGAGCCACGATTAAAAAAAAAAAGTTCTGGGTCCGTTCATCTCGGCGGCATAGCGGCGTTTGTGAATTTATGTAGGAAAATCAACGCCGCGTCTGCTGGCGCAGAATGTCACGGGGGTAGGTGGCGACGATGATGCGAGGGGTCCCACGTGGGCGCGCACGTGGGTTCCTGCACATCGACAAGACGACTGGCGGTCACGTTTTATTGTTATGGTTATTATTATTGAGCGATATTCAAGGACGTCAAGCGCAACTTGTATCAACTCCTTCGTCTCAATCATCGTCATCATCATCGTAGGTGTCCATTCCATGTTTCGTCATTTGTTTCCACTTTCCTCTGTCTTGTGCCAATATGCTCGTGCAGTGGCCACGTTTCTCTGGCACCAATCTCATTTGCCGTCAGGCCATTCCCTGTGAGGTCTTCACC